GTTGTTCGATGCTTCGCTAAATTCTAAAAATTTTATTGGCCTGTAAGGACACAGTTCGTCATACAGTTCTTAGAAAGGCTTTCTAAAAAGTAACTTATTTATTCTTCGCATTTCGTACAGTCTCCAGAATGTTATTTAGGTAATAAAAATGCAATTAAATTGTCATCATAATTATTTTTAATTTGTGTAATTTACGCAGCAAGAAATTGAAAAGCTATTAGAAAAGGGCTTCGAAATTTCTATTTATAGCAGCTAATAAATGCTTTAATACCAATTTTAACATCTTAATTTAATATCAGGGCTTATAATTCACTTTCATATTTCCTCTGAAATAAAGCATTTTTAATAGAAATTTTACTGGAAAATAATTGAAATAAATAAATTACTGCAGAAAAAAAGGAAAAACCAATCGATATCAATATTTTTTATGAATAATTCTAGTTGAGGACAGGGGAGGTAAATGTTTAAATTCGTCTTATTTTTTACTGGCTTACTATTTCTCAAATGATTTTGAAATTGCATGTTAGATTATAAATTGATTTATTTTCTTCTTATTATCATTACTGTTAGCTATTATTTATTACTGACATTGCTACTCTTAATTGTTGTTATCTCTACATATAATCAAAAGGAAAAGTCTGCGTGTGTGTGTCTTTCTTTCGTGCTGCGCGTAAGCTAATAAACCCAGAGCTACGAAATTTGTTACATGAGGGGGGGGGGTCCATCTAGACAACAGCCAGCGCACCTCCAAGCGATTTTTTTTTAAATTCGAATGAGATTTTTTTAATTTAATTTATTTATTTATTTATTTATTTTTGAGGAAATAGCATCAAATGGATCATTCTCTTCCGTTATATCAGCAACAATGGCACGCAACCATTGTTGCCACTGATATGTCTCTGTTGGCATTGTTGCTGATATCAGCACTGTTGCCACTCGAAAAAATGAGGGCGATAATTCTGCGCAGTTTTTAAATTTAATGTTTCTCTTGGATGCTGTACGTTTGTCGACAGAAGGCAACTGGAAGTTGCTAAATTTATTTACTAGCATAATTAATTAAGATACAATAACACGCGGAACAAATATTAATTTAAAAGTCAAACAACAAACTCAAGAACCCCATTCCGAATATGAATTCCTGGGGTATTTACAGGATTCCTTGCCAGTGTGGTTTAATTTACATTGGCCAAACTAAGCGAGCCTTGGAATTTCTGTTAAGGAGCATGAGGCATATGTTAGAAAAAAGGAAACACAGAAGTCACTTCTGTTGCCCAACCTTGTTGGTCAGAAAATCACACTTTCAAGTTTTCTGTTTCCAAAATTATTCAAAAAAACATCTTCCATTGGTGAACTGGATGTTCTAGAGGTATTTCACATTCAAAAAAATCTTTCTGTTCTTGTTAACGACCCTAATTCCAATCCATCTTTGCCTTTAAAGAAATTATGTTTTAGTTCTGGTTTCATCAACAGATGGCGCCAGTAGCGTATCTCTTATCCAGGCTTTCTTATCTTATCTTATCATTATATCTTATCTCGTTTATTTGCGCTTTTGCAGCTGAGGATGAGGGTTCGGTAAAACCATCGAAACTAGTCACGTGAAAATTTGAAAATATAACCCTGATTTTTGTTGTTTGTCTTCTAAATTAGCATAATTAATATTTGTATTAAGGGATATTGCTCATTTCATTGTAATTTTTTATATGTAATACATTTAATTGATTTTTTTATATATATAAAGTTGTTTTGCACAGTAAAATTCTGTGCAATGTTTAAATTTAATGTTTGGTGTTCCCGTTAGGCATTTTCCCGTTACATTTAAAAGCCAAACGAAATAATAATGATGATAATAATAATAATTTTTAGTATTGTTATTGCTCATTTATTCTTAATCTGTGTCTCATTTTTTCTTAATCTGTTTTATAGGTCATGGAAGCTACTGTAGAGGTTACCACAAACCACCGAGGCTATTTTGAATTCAAGCTATGTCCGAATAACAATCCCAAGAAAGAAGCCACGCAAGAATGTTTAGACAAACATATACTGAGAGAAGCCGGTGGAATCGGAACACGTTACTATATCGGGGATAGAGGTAGAGGAGACATAACAGTACATCTACAACTCCCGAAAGGCCTCACATGCTCTCAATGTGTGTTTCAGTGGACGTACGTAGCAGGTAAGTGAATTCACCAGTACAGTCTTGCTCTCTTAACCGTAGTTTCTCAATATTCCTTTGTACTTCCTTTTACGAAGTAAAAAGGAAGTATTGTAATCGCGAAAAGTTTCAGGCAGCATATTTCAACGAAAATATCCATTTTGACCGCTATCGAATGCAATTTAACGATGTTTTTGAGTGATATCTGTACGTAAGAACAGAATAAAAGTCTCGTTTCCTCCAAAAAAATTATAAAACTGCTTTAAAATGAATTCTGAAGAGAACTTTCGTGGCGTCTGTACGAACGTAACCTAGCGAATTCTCGCACAGGCGTGAATAAATTACTAGCACAGAAGAAAGGGTGAAAAGTAACCCTTTATCAATTCAAACTAATTTAACAGAAAGGTACGGGCTTCGTGCGTTACAAAAACACCGTCCTCTTGCGGTGGGAATTAAAACGTAGAATATAATACAAGTCAAACCTGAAATAAACAGTGCAAGAGCGCACTTATGTTTACGCCTAAGAGGTGGATTCACAGAAATCTAATCGGCGTGACACTAATCTGATAATTCCAAGAGGCTTACTAGCGTGACCGCGAAATAACAACGAAATGTGCACTTGGCTAGCGAAACACGCTCTTGAAAAAACTGAAATATTCATACGTTTAAATAGCACTTCACTTAACTTTAAATTTACATCCTGGCGAGAGAATGTGAGGGGAAGTTGAGAAGTTTAGAACAGGAAATCAAACTTAAAATATTTTTAATTTGTTATGCTAAATAAGGGGAACCCTATAAACCTTCCTTTTATACTATTTACTCATTTGCATTCAACGCCATTCTAAAAACTCATTTTGGTAGGGAGCTGAAAGTTGAAATAACAGTCGATAGGATAGCACAATCTAATTAAAAGGACTTATCAGGTATTTCTCCCACTTCCCTAGCGTGCCTTCGTGGTGTAACGGTAGCACACTGGACCGGTATTTCAAAGGTCCGTGGTTCGATTCCCAGCGAAGGCGGTGCATATTTTTCATCTTTTCTGCTTCCAATTAACCTAATGACTCTACAAGTGGCGCCCGAACTAAAAAGTGTTGTGGATGATGATTCTCCTCACCCAGGATTTGGCGACTAGGTCCCCTAAAACCCTAGTCACCGTTTAAAAAGGGGAGTATATAAGATATTTCTCCCTCTTCCCTAGCGTGCCTTCGTGGTGTAACGGTAGCACGCTGGGCCGGTATTCCAAAGGTCCGTTGCTCGATTCCCGGCGAAGGCGGTTGCATATTTTTCATCTTTTCTGCTTCCAGTTAACCTAATGACTCTACAAACTGTTATAAAATTAAAATATACCTTATAAAAGAATTTTACAAAATCCCTGTATACCAAGGAATATTTTTGAAAACTAATTAACTTATAAAAATTAAGGGTATTAAGAATAACATGCAAGATATGAAAAAAAATACATAAGGTAAGCCTAAAAATCTGAATATACTGAATCTAGTCTCTGATACAAAGTCCTCAATTTAATTTTTTTTTTTAAATTTACAAATTTACATTTCAGTACCCAAATTTAATTATCATTTAACTGTATTTAAAGCTTCCTTCGTATTCAGAAATAAATGTGTAAGTTGTTTGCATTTAATGAAAAGTTAAGTCGAAGATTTGTTATTATTTAAGGTAACAACTGGGGACTATGTGAGAATGGACAATCCGCTCTAGGCTGTGGACCCCAAGAGACCTTCAGGGGTTGTGCAGATATCGCCATCGAAAGAAGTTCGGATGTCTTTAACTTCAGGCCTAGTCCAAACGACGTTCGTGGCAAAGCTCCCAATCCTAAGAGAAGGAAACAAGGATACTACCAGAATGAAGCAAATGACAAATACCCAGATTATACTCTAGAGACAACCAAACAAAATCGCAAAAACGGAAGCCGACATAAATATCACGACGAAAAAAACCGAAATCACTACAGCAAAAGGTATCAGAGTAAAAGAGGAGAATTTTACTCTTCAAGGCAAACGAATGAAAACTCGCTTGATTTGCCTCAGCAAATTGAGAAGCCAAATGCGAGCGTACATGATGCCGAGGACCATAAGAAACAGCATTATAATCGAAAAAATAACAACGGGCATCACCACAAGTCTAACAATTCTGATAATAACGGATATAATGCGAACACTTATAATAATGGACATCAATACAATAAGCACAATATTCGTCACCAGAATACCAATAATTTTGATGGTAAAGCATTCTCTTCCAAAACCCATGGTGGCAGAAGTGGCTTTCCCTTTATAGAAGGAAGGCAAAATTTTGAGCGGAGTCCCAGAGGTGATACCAGTTTGGAAGACAGACAAGAGAATGGGAATCGTTTCAATACTAACGCTCATTCGACACCAAGGAAGCAGACCTTCGAAGATAACCGCAAAGAGAGTAGAAATTTACATGAGCATCGTGATAAAAGCAGTAAATCTGGGAGAGGACAGAAAAAGCAAAGCAGAAGAAAAAATGACAGATTTTCGTCCACTCTTAACGCGAAAAGATACGAAGCTGAAAGATCTTCTCGCGAATTTACTTTAGGAGGAAGAAGGTACAAAGATTTTTGGTTACTGTAAAGGAAACATAGCGTTTTCAGCTTATACGATCTTGTCTTGAACGCAAGTGGGGATCCAAAGTTTACAAGTACTCATAGCATTGTTATAAAACGCAGATCAGTTACTGGCTTTTATTAGACCATATTCAAGGGTGAAAGTCAACAGTTTACCTCCAGAATATATCCTGATAGCCTTATCATAAGACTTAAAAATTAATGGATTCATTTTGGAACTGTCTAAGATTCCCAGCTGCCAAGACGTAGAAGACTCATAAATCATGAAGTGCTTCTTGGTGCGTCACAAAGTATTCGAATTTAAATAGATGTTTTAACATTTTCATTCCATTAGCAGTATCGTAATTGGCCGAATCAAAATATTCTGCAATACGGAGTTTTGAAATCGAAATAAAGCAAGCAGACTGGTAGCATCTATAAGTTCATGTGGTGTGTTAGTTTATCAATCCTAACATTATGCCTTGACAAGCACTGCGAGAAAATACCAACAGAGACCAGCAGATGCTAAAAATGGTTTTAGCTTCATATGCTAGTTTTTAAATTTTATTCGTAGGATAGACTGATAATTGAATATTTTGTTAAACTGCACATGCGAATGAAGTGAATAGCGTGAGAAGCTTACAAAAAATACTTTTAGTGCCATTTTGTGGGATTAGTAATTCATGTACTCATTCCATTATTAATACGTATAATACCCATTGATAAAACTGATGCACGTTTTTATCTGTGTCACCTAAATTCACTCATCATTATTTGTATGCTTCTCTATATATACATCTACTTGTGTTTGTATTTCTGCTTTTAATTTCATGAAGTTTTAATAAAAAATTAAAAACTACAGATTTGCTCATGTTTTTAACATACTCGGATAAAAATATAAATTATAATTTCAAAACGTTTTTGACTTGTACTTGGAAAATCGGCTTAGGTATTTCCTTATTAAAGTAGCCACCGTTTTTATTGCCCAAACTGACAAACTCAACGTCCAATCAGTAGCATGTAAATTTTAGGTGTTGCCAAAATGACATGGAAGTTTATGTTTTGACATGGATGTATCCCTACTTTTATGTGCGGATTCCATTTCTAAAATATACAGGGCATTTCGTTCAAAAGTATCTTATTTAAAATCTATGTTTCTTTCCGATAATAATGAAATCTAGTTGTTGTTTCAAAAGGAACTTATTGTCTATTGTTTCAGAAGAGACTTATTGTCGGTTGTTTCAGAAGGGAATTAATGTCTGTTGTTTCAGAAAGGGTTTATTGCAAGACCTCCAAGTATATGCAATATATCTAGGATTGTTAGTTTCGAATTTCATTAGAGATATATTTCTTATTCAATTAATTCAGTTTGTGGCAATTAAATAAATTAAAGAGTGATTAAATGACCCAGAAATCATTTTACACCCTCTGTGATATAAAATCAAAGCAAGCTATCACTCGAGTGACGGTGTCAGATCTGATCTCAGTGTTTAATTACTAGTTCGTCAGACAGAGTGATAAAACGAACTACCTACAGATTACTATAACATTATATTTTTAAGCCAGCAGGCCTTCCTAATTGTAAATTGTTCTTAATTCTTTTTAACTGGAATAATTTCTTGATTGCAAATTGTTTCTGAACTGTTAATTACTAATATCTGTAACATTCAAAAATTGCTAGCTATTGATTGAATCATAATTACTAATTGTTGTAAGGCCTCTTAATTACAAATTACTATACGTTTCTTAATTACTAATTGCTGTAACGCTGTAGCTCTAAGTTAGTAGGTCTTCTTAACTACATTTCTAAGCCGCTAGAAATTGATTGAAAGGGAAAGAAAGAAAAGGACCAGGATTAAAAAGGTCTGTGTGTGTGTACACCATATGACTTCCTTCTACGGAATATTAAATTATACTCATTTTTACCTGCATATCATTTAAATTTATTTCCTCGAATTTCATTAGAGATATATTTCCCATTCAATTAATTCCGTTCTCACTTTGCGGGAAGGCAAAAATACATAAAACCTCAAAACACCTTCATTAAAAACTGAAAAATAAAGAAAAACATAAAATATAAAATGCAGTTAAAATAATTTAAAAAAAAGTTTTTTAGAATTAAAATTAGAGTTTCTACGCAAAAACAAGCAATTCGGCCAGCGGGAAAGGAAGCAGATTTCATCGGTGCCCAAAACTAAAAGCTTACTTTTGCTTTGACTCGGCAAAAAGTCACTGGAGATGCAGAAAGACTTCATTCACTATTCTGCTAAGCTTCAAATGTAAACAAATATGGATGCTATGGTAAGGAAAATTAGGCTTAGCCGCAATTAAACAACTTTTAAATTGTTGACTGTTGCATCAGCAACTAAAGCAACTACAATTATTGCATGCATATCAATTAAAGGCATGAAAACCTTAACAGGAAGATAAGAATCATATAAATCAATCAATTTTAAAGAAAAAGATGCGCAATTTATCAACATATAAGAATAATAAAAAGCTTAGCTCACCGAGCCGAATAACAGAGTGCGTATATATATATATATATAATTCTATTAAATTAATCTTAGGAGATAATATAATCAATATTTCTTTAGTAAATAAATTATATATATATATATATATATATATATATCTTTATATACTTTTGATGCAGCGGATTGCAACAAAAACGAAAGGTGCACAAATACATGTTACATTAGTCCTATATACAAAATTTCAGCATTCTGGGGCTACTTGTTTTTGAGTTAGACGAGATACATACATACTCACGTACGTACAGACGCCCCGAAAAAAAATCTGTTCTGAAACCATTTTGAGACAGTTTTATAATTCGTTTTGGGAGGTCCGAGGTTCGACTCCCGGCGAGGGCATTGCTCATTTTCACGTCTCTCAGCATAAAAAAAAAAAAAAAAAAAAAAAAAAAAAAAAAAAATCCTAATATCTTTACAGTGGTGCCCGAACAGGGACAAATGTGATTGATGATGATTCTCTACCACCAAGATTTGGCGACTGGGTCGTCGTTTGAAAGGAGGACTACATAAGGTGTTTCTGCCGCCTTCGTAGCGTAACGATCAGCACGCTCGGCGCGTAGAGGTCTGGGGTTCATATCCCGGTGAGGGCATTGCTTATTTTTCATCTCTCTTGCTTCGAAATAACCTAATGTCTTTACAATGCTACCTCTTACATCCCGAAAATAAGCAATGGAAAGGCGGTAAATCAATTTAACCTTTCAAATATTTCAAAGCATTTGGCAGAAAACACAGTTTCTTCGAAGTAGCAGAAAATTAAACCAAAATGTTTTCTAATAGATTTTTAATACAATAGCAAAAGACAGATGAAAATTAAAACAAAGAAATTTTCTTTAAGACAACTGTCAAAAATGCATTCGTAAATAATTATCTGCATTTTAAGGACATATTTGAAATGTAGCAAACTTATTTGAAAATTTTAAGCACGGTTTGTATCTTTTGTTGCTTTAAACAGGTACAAATTCTTTTAATTAAAGAACAATTAGTTTATGAACTCTTTTGAATCCCCCCCCCGTTTACAGCTATTATCTGTTAAAAGCGTTATGAGTTTTCTAAACTTATTAAAGCCTTTTTTTACAAAATATTAAAATATCTTAAAATACTTAAAAAAGAGCATTCGTATTAAAAATTAGAAGGAAAATATATTCTAATTAGACTTATCCCAACATAATAATTTTAAGATAGTCAGCGAATGTATTTCTACGAAATAATGTGTTAAAATCATTTTAAAATATCTGTCAAATTTAATTTCCTTTTTTGAAATTAAAAACCACAAAGGAGTTTCTGAAAAATTGAAAACATTTTTTTTACATCGAAATTTCTTGTTTTTTAAGTTGAAATAAAAACTCGCATTATGATGAAATTTAAGAAGGAAATGAAATTTCAATGACTTCCTGCTGTAAGTTACTCCCTAAAGTTCCGGATTTAGGTTCAAATTCTTTTCAGTTTTTTTTTTTTTTTTTTTTTTTTTTTGAATATCTTTCTTGAACTCCTGCACAGAGTGTTGCTAAAATTCACTGGCAAAAGTGAAATTATTTATCTTATCCGATTCCTTTCTCTGAGAGAAAAAAAAATGAAAAATCCTAAATTTTGCTTTTATCTTATTTTTCTCCTTCACTGTTGAGAAAAGGCGTTTCCCAAAACAGAAGCGGATCTCCGTTTTTCTGACAGTCAACCAAGTGATTCATTTACCTGGTTGTCTTGAATTAAGCAGTGGCAGAATATAAGGTCAAATGGAGGTCACCGACCGATATCTGGTATTTTTGTTTTATTATTTTTGTTTAAAGACACGAAGCGGTTTCAAGCAAAAGTGGTGCAGTTCTGTTTTGCCATGCTGAATGATTTACTAAAGCAGCGCTGTCAAACTCGAGTTACATGTAAGCGCAATCTGAAAAAAGCTGACAGGGCAGAATTTTTTTTTAACAAAATGAAAGATTTTATTAGCAAAATAAAAAATATTTTAAATAAATTTTATATTTTGCCAGGTAAATATTTATCAAAATATGTAAAAACAATTATGATAATAATATAGCAAATGAAAAAAATTCAAATTTACATGAATTTTCTGTTTGATAACTAAAGTTTGGTACATGCAAGATAGTTTTTCTTTGTTACAGTTTGTTACTCAAACATACTGAAATCTAAATATGAAATTTTCAGATTGATATTTATTAAAAATAATTCTGATATGCTTATTTAATAATTAAATAGCTTACTTTACCAAAGCAGTGATATCAACCTTATGCTGAATGATTTATCAAAGCAATGATGTCAAACTCATGCTGAATGATTTCCCAAAGCAGTGATGTCAAACTCAAATTACATGTGAGCCAAGTGCACAATCTTGGTTGATAAAACAGATATATTTTTTTAACAAAATGAAAGATTTTATTAACCAAATAAAAATATTTTAAATAAACTTTACATTTCGCTAGGTAAATATTTATCAAATATGCAAAAACAATTGTAATAATAATATAGCAACGGGAAAAATTCAAATTTATATTGATTTTCTACCTGAAGTCTGGTACCTGCAAGATATTTTTGTTTGTTATTCAAATATGCTGAAAGCTAAATAATAAACTGTCAGAATGATATTTATTTAAATAATAATATTAAAATGTTTAATTAATCATTAAATAGCTTACTTTAATTTAAATTAAAAATAAGCAAATTATGAAAACTGTGTAAGTTTTTCAAGTGAGACAAAATTCGCAATAAATTAATTAAATTAAAAGCGTTCAATTAAAGGCATTCAATTAAAAATGGGCAATTATCAGTTTACAACTTTTAATTTTGCAGGAAATACAAAAGCAGAAACGGGAATGGAAATTTCCAAAATGCTTTAAAAATTATTTTGTATAGCATACGTGTGTATGTTACGTTTGAGGTTAATTAAATATATGCCTGAAATTCAATATTATACTAATTAATTAGTAATTTTCTATACCATGAATACATAAAAAATTATAACTGCATTTATGAATTAAATAATCCTTACATAAATCGTACGCATATATGTCCATTAATTAAAAGAATATCTAAATTTCAATATTATTATAACTAATCCGTAATTTTCTATATCATGAGTATGCAAAAATGTTTAATTACACTGTAGAGACATTAAGCCTTTTTTGAAGTAGATGGAATTAAAAATGTAGATGGATTAAATTTTATAATTGTTAGTTGCAATCCAACCAGAATAAAGATAAAAGATAAAGATGCGAATAAATGATTAAGCTAGGACTGATAACATAAAGTGCAAAATCGTACTTACATTAATGCAAAACTTAAACAACATGTTTCCAAACAAAAAAAATTTGATGTGTACACCAGATGACTTCCTTGTACGGAATATTAAATTATATTAATTTTTTTTGAATTTCATTTAAACTTTATTGGATTGAATTAAATCTACTTCGTGGATACGCATATAAATAACCACATAGAATAATGCACTCTTTAAAATCACTATATTGTTTCCCATAAGATTCTGGAGCGAGGTTACTTAGCAGCGTTTTATGTTATAACTCAGAATGCACAAAATTTATATCATTTGAAGATATCTAATCGTTTGCCACATTTTCTCTTCAATACTCTAATAAATCTAGAACGATGTATAAAAGAAATTAAGCAAACAAAAAAGAAGTTTTTCACAGACGATTTCTTATTTCTCATTCAATTAATTCAGTTCTCACTTCGCGACAAGGCAAAAATACACAAAAACACAAAATACCTATATTAAAAATTACGAAGGAAATCTTAAACATTAAGTATTTTTCCTCGAATAAATTCCAGAATGGATTAAACATGATTTAATTCGCAATAGTAAAAGAAGGCGTTATCTTTGTTGTTACGAAGCTTAGTTTCCCTAGATTGGCAACAAAGCCGCTTTTTTGCTAAGTTTAAAACGTAAACAAACATGTCCGCCATCGCAAAAATTTTAGGCTTAGCTGAACTTAAGCAACTTTTAAATTGTTGATAACTCCGCAAACATTGCAAGCAGATTTACTAAAGGCATAAAAACTTAGCCGGAAGATAAGAACAACATAATTCAATCATTTTTAAAGCACAAAATGCACAATTTACAAACATATAAGAGTAAAAAAACTGAGATCACTGAGCCGGGTAACAGAGTGGATAAGTTTTAACTTTTCACTTATCACATCGATGGGTATTTTACTGTATTTTTTGCCATTTACCGTTTCCACGATTAGTATTTTACTGTTTTATATTCTACATTTTTTCGTGTAGTCTAATTTTTCACCCTTCAATGGTTTTTTTTTTTTTTTTTTTTTTTTTTTTTTTTTTTTTTTTTTTTTTTTAAATTGTGTTGAATTTTTTGGAGCCACACCTGGTAACTTTTGGCGACTAACTACAATTTATCTTCTCTCAATAAATATATTTATACGTGTGAGCGGCCGATAGCAACCAAAATACGAGGTGCACATCTACATGTTATAGATCCCTACGTACAAAATTTCAACGTTCTGAGGCTACTCATTTTTGAGTTATGCGAGATACATACGTAGGTATGCACAGACGTCACGAAAAATTCTCTTCAGAATTCATTTAATATTAGTTTTACAATTTTTTTGGGGGGAAAAGAGTCCTCTATTCTGTTCTTACGTATAGATGTCACGCAAAAACATCGTTAAATTCCATTCGATAGCGTTCAAAGGAATATTTTCATTGAAATATGATGCTTGAAACTTTTCGCGATTACAATACTTCCTTTTTACTTCGTACAAGGAAGTAAAAATAGTCAAAACTGGGAATGTAGTAGAATCCAAGAAGAAATTCGCGATTAGTATTCTTTACCTGGAGATTTACTTTTACAATTCAGCTATGGTTAGAGATTTAGGTTAATATTCGGGGGGGATGTATGCATCCAAAAAGGGGAGAAATAATATTAATAAGTAACGTTTAGCTAAAAAGCTCGGCATGCAATTTTAATGAAATTTACATTAGAAAAGAAATCAAGAAACGCGTTTACAAAAGATGTTAGCAGTTTTTTCAGATAATTTTGCTTTCCTATAAAAAAATAGGCTATTTCGAAATTCTTTTTTAGTTGCAGCTATATTTTAGAATGTTTAATCTATCATCTGCTATTTGAGAATTTTGTTTGCATGCAAAATGGCGCTTTTAAGGAAGCAATAGACGGAAGGCTATTATTGTACTCTTTCCGAACAAGATTATTCGTATTTAGTTACTGAAAAATGCTGTGAAAGCCGTGATTTTTTAGTAATAATAGATAATATTAATAAGATAGATAATAATAGATAATATTAATAAGAAAGGAAAACAACGTCAAAGTTTGCTTCAAGGAGATCAGTTGTTCAGAATGCATATCCATGGAAAAAATGGAATGTTTCGAATGTTGCAACTTTAATGTTTAAAGAAAAATCTTCGAACTCGAAAGGCAGTTGCATAATCATAGAAATGTTCAGTGTCAGCTGCAGTGAGTAATGCTGATTTGCATCTTAAAAAGAAGAAAAAATGTAATGTGCATCGCTTATCTCCACGAGATATCTCCGACAGCAGAACGCGCTGCCGAATTCATCATGAGAAACAATTGTTTGAATAAAAATGGAAAAATGTTGTCACAATAGATGAATCTTGGATATACTTAAATGATCACAATAAAAGAGATCCATTTATTATTATCAAAGAGAAGAAAAAGATCTGAGAACATGGTTCAAAGTTTTTCAAAGAGATTTATGATTGTTGCTGGGTTTTATATATAACGACAAATGAAAATTAAAGAGAGTGCAGAAAACTGCTAAAATCAACCCCGTGTATTATCATGAATATATTTTATACCCAGTTTTCAAATATGAAATACCTTATCTTTACCCCACAATCAGTAGAACTAACCTCATCAAGACAAAACAAGCAGATGCAAGTCAAAAATCTACTGTTGATTTTCTGGAAAAAATGAAACAAGAAACGGGTATCAACGCCATATACTCTTCATTTATATCCATATTAAGTCTCCTGATATATCATCCACGTTTTTCTTGCAATTTTGGACATTTAAAAAGCGAATTCTCCAGACATAGACCTTCTTTGGACTTTAGAAAGCTGTTCAAGAAGAATGGGATAAAATACCTCTTCTACTACTAAACAAACCTTTATTGTCTTGGAAATTATGGTGCAGAAATATAGTGAAGAATAAGGATTATTAAGTAGAACATTTAAAACGCAAAAAGTTTGGGTAAAATATTTCTGTAAAAATAATGAAAAACCGTCTAAACATGTTCGAATAACCTTAATAATTTCATTATTTTAGATCCAGATTGCTATTTCACTGCATGATGCCTTTTTTTTATTGCACTGTAACGTAAACACTTAATGTGTTAAATAAATCGTTAAATTTTTTTTAAAAAAATATCATTCAGTATCACTTTATGAAACTTTGAGGAATTTTTTTTTCTGTAATCCAGAAGTCCAGAAAAGCTTATGCAGACTCAATAGAATTGTCGAAGCAGGAAACATGAAAAATGTGTAATGCCCTAGCTGTGATTTGAGCTCCAACCGTGCTTTTAGCTATACCACAAAGGCATGCTGGAATAAGGAGGAAAAATACATTACATTCTCCCCCACATAAAAATCAAGGGAAAAAGCGGAGCTTAACCTGGAAATTATAGTGATGATGAATTTTTATTTACCATATGTTAGTTCTCGGCTACAAAGCAATTTTAGATATTTTTCATGCCAGGAAGCTTGCAAATGAGCAAATCTCACGTCGAGATTTGAATTTCACATCTCTCGATTGACCTGCCTGACGTGCTTCGAATTACACCACCAAAGTAAGAAAGGACAAACTACTTCACACTTAGAGTAAATTAAAGTTAAACATTCTAGTTTTAGAGTTTGTAGCAGAATACCTCTGCAGCGTATTTTTGCGAAGTTCTGACGAAAGGTAGCACAAAATTTATTTAAATATAAAACTTGCAGAGACATTAGGTTTTTTCGATAACCTAATGTCTCTAAGATAAAAAGATAAAAAAGGAGAGATAAAAAGATAAAAAGATATAAAAGGAGCAATGATCTAAGATAAAAAAGGAGCAATGATTTCGCCGGGACACGAACCACGGATCTCTCGAATACGCGTCGAGCGTGCTGAGCACTACACTATGAAGGCATGCTAAGAAGGTCTTAGAAATACCTTATATACTCCCTCTTTTAAGGGCGACAGGGAATTAGGGGACCTAGTCGCCAAAGCCTGGTGGTGGAGAATCATCATCCAACACCATTTTTAGTTCGGGCGCCACTGTAAAGACATTAGGTATTTTTTGAAAGCAGGAGAGAGGAAAAATGAGCAATGCCGTCGCCGGGACTCAAACCACGGACCTCTCGAATACGCGCCGAGGGTGCTGACAATTACACTACTAAGGCATGCTAAGAAGGCGGGAGACATACCTTATAAACTAATTTAGCAGTTGTCATAAAAGTAACAGAAAGTTAAAAATAACAGGAAACAGAAACGAATTTTGCTGATTTATTGGCATATGTTATTATAAATCTTAGGAAATTCCAAAAAATTTGTAAAAACAAATTGCAGAAATTTGCGTTTTGTTAGATGAATACTTACCTCACTTAAAAATATTATTCATAGATCTTGACTTAAGTCACATTGTTCCTGAAAGTATCCAAAAAAAAAATGCCACTAACTAACCTGCATAAATAAATAACGCAATTAAAAAAAAGTACTTTCTGCAAGCCGAAAGAACAAAAATATAAAAAGTAAAATAAATTAAGGATGCGTCCCGAAAACCAGCAAACGAACGGAACTCGTGGAATTCTCACCAAATGAGTGATCATTTCGAAGCAAACGCCCGTTTTAAGAGGTGATATTCTCTTAATCGCGATCGGATGCTAGGTTACCAAGATCGTCATCTGGAGGTAAGATTTTCTTTATGAAATTGAAGTTTGTTTATTTTAGTCTTCCTTCTCTTACGAGACTAATAAGTATATATTAATTGCTTACTTGCTAGTGTTTCCAGTGAGGAATATTAATTAAAATATTGCTAATTTTAAGTCCAAAAAAGCTAGAAATATCCACTTTTGAATGACGTAATCCTATTGCGAATATGGGCATCTGGAAGCCCAAATTTTAAATTTAGAATTTGTTTTATTATCGATTTATATTTTGTAGCACTTCAACGAATTTCTGATTAACAAACTCAAGGATTTTCAAAGCGAGCATTGGCAACGTTGTACAGAAAACGCATTTTTATCTCCAACGCGCGAGACTCTGTATCGGAAATTCTAAAGATATGCTCAATTGAAAACTATTTTGCGATATTGCTCTTGAACTTAATTTTATGGTTTACTTGCGAAGAACGTGATATTTAATAAATAAAGGTAACGCACAAAATATTAAAAAACGCCCCTTTGGAAGTAATTTTAAAATCTGAAACCTTTCAGATTTTTTTTTCATTCTTTTATTTTTTCTTTACTGTACTTTTCCATTCCTTTTCTACCTAATATAAACTACTGTTACATTTTGTATTGTTTTTATACCTTAATATTGCACCCAGCAATTTTATAAGTTGAATGTATTTGAATTATATCAGTTAAGTATGTTACAAGAAGCAGATTTGAATATCACGCAGTGCATTAACAGCTAGTGTATTAATCTCTAAGAGATAGCTTAAAATTGAAAAAAAAAAAGTAAAAGATCTTACACTTTGGCGAATAACAGCACTATTGAGAATTGGCTCTTTGCGCGGCCGCGTGGAAGATGCGGAATTACATTTGGTGTGATGGTAACACCTGTCACCCCAAAGTCATTTTTCTCGTCCATGCATGGTAGCGCAGCGTAACGCAATGGACAAAAATTTTGGAAAACTCCGATGAATGCATTTTAACGCCATTATAGACTTTAGTTATAATGACAGTATTGTCGTATTTTTTAAAAATATTTTCTTTATTTTAGTTACTACAAGAGTAGAGGTGATTTTTAAAACCAGTCTGTTTCAACGATAATAATGTATTATCAAGCACGTTCAGGTATAAATAATATATTATTTACGATAAATGGCAAATAATATATTATTTATCATTTATTGTAAATCGACAGTTGTAGATGATGTCATAGTATATGGGATTTATTTTTATTCCCAGCAGTCTGCAGATTAACTGTAAGCAATTCGCAATATCTAAATATTAAAAAAGGAAAACTTTTTATGTCAAAATTACGAGCAATCGGATTAATTTAGAATAAATTATTCAAACATAAAATAAGTAAGGAGTTAAAATAATAATTAATGCAGAAAAGAATAACTTTTTTTTTTTTTTTTTTTTTTTTTTTTTTTTTTTTTTTTTTTTTTTTTTTTTTTTTTTTTTTTCTGATTGATATATTCTGAATAAAATCTCTCACAGTTTCGACTGACTTGAAATTTTCTGTTTTTGTTTTACTTTGCGGTAGTTAATTTTTAACGTTTTTTAGCAGTTCTGGTTTGTTTTCGGCTCGAAATTGGCTCAATATTTCGGCTCAATATTTGCTTAGAGCATTCTTTTGATTTACCCAATGATTATTATAGTTTCATACTCGAGAATTCTTTCTATAAATATTTTAAAATGTTTATAATTTTTATTTTAGAGTCACATCAGGGTACGTTATATCTTGATTAATATAATCACAATTTTTTTTACTTTGTTGATTTTTTTAAGCATTTTGATTATTTTTATTTTAATTAAATTATTAATAGGTATTTTCTATCAATTTTTCTTTTGAAATGGCTCCAATATTAACACTAATCTAGATCAGGCTACGACAAACTTCTTTGCCTGTGCGTCGAAATCAACTAAAATGAGTCATTAAGAAGACATTTTGGAAGCTTTTTGGTGAATAATAAGGTAAATTTTATTGAGAAAATAATTACAGTACGCTTTAAATTTCAAACCTAAAAATTATAATTCTAATCATCATAAAAAAAAACTTAACTGAATGAACTTTATTTTTCTCTTCTATATCAATGTCTCTCCTGATGATGAACTTGTGACATCAACTTAGTCAAGTAGTTTGGCTTATATTTAGTCGTCTTGAGACGAATGCAAGTATCTGAAATTTACACACTTAAATTGCTATTGCTTTTACTTAAAATAAATTTCCTGTGTGAAAATATTTGCTCACATTTTTATAAATTGAACTGTATGAGGACAAAATATCAAAGCTTTTTTTTTTTTTTTTTTTTTTTTTTTTTTTTTTTTTTTTGCTACTGAATTTATTTTTGGACTACTGAACAAGTGCTACAACTGACAGTGAACTCTTGGAGTTTGCCACTTTGTCAAGAAATTACGGATAGGCGTTGTCAAACTTATGGGTTTCTCCTAGAAAATATGTTACAATTTTTATTTTTTTAAAAACAAATATTTTGAAATATATAATTTTGAATTATTGATATAATTTCATTTTTATTTTTTACTTTTAATCATTTTCTTTAATTTTGGATTTTTACTTTTATAACCTATATACCCTTAATCCATATACCTTTTTAAATATTTGATTGAGAAAAATTAGTTAATTACACAATTTTAGGTAATAAGAATTTAAAAGAAAATGAAGATTCACAGCGGAGAGGCAATATTCTTCTTGCTGTTGATGTTTTGTGTCTTGGAGTGTGTTTGGTGTCATGCCCGCTTGATGGAGCCACCATCGAGATCGAGCATGTGGAGATTCGGCTATGGAACGCCAAAAAATTACGACGATGATGGTTTATACTGCGGCGGAATCAAGGTAAGATCAACACTTGATATTTCATTCTAAAGTCTCAAAGCCTGACTTACCCTCTACATACGCCTCCGTTTCTAAGGGAAATTTAAATTTTTACCTGGTGAGGGGCGAGCATGGGATTTATTTTCGTGAAGAATTTCGATGTCTACTTATCCTGTCTCATTTAATGTTTTATAAAATTAACTATAGATCATGTAAAGTTACGAGTATTACTAAAACATGTGGCACTGAAAAGGAAATTCAATAAAAGAAATCACTTTAAAATCATATATAGTAATGCCCTAGCTACGCATTTTTATTTATTAATTTTTTTTAAAAATTGCTGTTGTCAGGTATTTTTAAAAATCTTATTTTTATCAAAAAGAAAAATGTGCAGGTTTCAAAATACGTTTTGTTGAAATGCCTGTTTTTTTTTTTTCCCTCAGAATTATATTACTTTGTTATCTCGGAATTTAGCATGTTTTTGAATGCAATATCATTAATGATAGCATAATTACACTGGTAATTAACTGGTAATTCTACTGGCTGGGCTAAAATGAGAATTCGGGCGGTTTTATTATTTTTTAAACTTTTTATTTAAGCAGGTGGTCTGGTGTATTTAATTATGGCAAAGCACACTAGGGCTATCTGCCTAAGAGGAGGGACGCTTTTCGTGGAGGACTTTCTAAGGGAAACTGGCTCGTATACACGTTACACATGGGGAAAAACCACGAAAACGCCCATGCAGCCAGCCTGTTCGCGGGATTCGAACCTCGGACCTAACTACCAGTGTTCAGCGACTTTACCGCTAAGCCGCTGGTGGGCTATTTAAGCAGGAATGTGAATTTTTGTTATATTATTTCGAAAATTGGTTTTGAAAAGTTTGTTTTATCGTTAGAAATTATGTCTAAATTTAGGTTATTTTGCTACCTATGCAACAGACAAGTATAAATATGATTTTTTTAAATACATTTACATTTTTTTTAATTGTTGTAAATTTTTGTTTACATGTAATTCAAGCCACCAAAATGGAAAAGATATCTTCAATATTATTTCTTATATCTTAGTACGCATGTCTATCATTAATGCAAACTGTTTTCTTTAAATGAGAACATGACTTTATTTTTATTCTCACTGGTTTTTAAATAATAAGATAAAGCTTGCTGAGAGATGTTAAATTTTAATTTGGTGATGGTGAGAGTTTTGGCTTTAGTGCGAAACTTGATTCTTTACCAAAAGAGAATGTGTGCATTAATGGGTAAAGATCAACATTAATGGGTGCTTTCCTTGAGCTCAACAGAGCCAAAAAACAAACAGGATGTGTCAAACTATGCCATATGAGGAATAAACGTTATGTGAAGAAGATGGGAGGATGGATAACTGTCCACTAACTTGATTGTCTGTCGTCAGACACTTGGCTGCAACAACGCCATACGATACTTCATAGAAATGCTGTCTGGAACATTAAACTTGATTCCTGTTTGCTGTATAATCTTGGACAGATCCTTTCCGTGTCAGGCCACTTTTCCATATAAAGTGCTCCACAAAATATGCCTATTTGGTTGGTAGCCTTCTTGTGTTTTCCTAAAATCGACTAAATAAGCTGCCCAAATGGGAGAGTGGTTAATGAACTGATTGTCGTACTGAAGGGGGCGGGCTCAAATCCTGGATGTTTATAAATGTATAATGTCTATGAGCTAAGAGGGCAGTTTAAATATGCAGTGAAACGAAAGACCTCAAGAGAGGCTGTGGTAGGAGAGGAGGAGTGGAAAACCCTCGGACCTCTGGGGTGCTCTACATCAAGATCGGAACTCAACAAAGTCTTTTATAGTCACCTGTATTGTGCTCAAGGCTCTTGTCAACGACAGGAGCAATCTATCGAACCCCTTGCCATGATGAACCCCATGCCTTGCACCCCTTGCCATGATGAATTGCGTGAGCTTGTTTGGATGTGTCACCATCAGACAAGTGAGATAATTCACAACAGCAGCAACAACAACCAAATAAATGCAGCGTAATTCAATATCTTTAAATTATTCCATTTCAGACGCAGTGGAAGCAAAATGGTGGCAAGTGCGGAGTTTGTGGAGACCCATGGCATATACCATCGCCTCGACCAAACGAAATAGGCGGAAAATATGGACATGGAATTATTGTTAGGAGTTACAAAACCGCTCAGGTATGTATAAATTTTAATGTTAATGCGCATATTTTTATCACTTTGCTGGATTATTTCTACGACCTTTGTTCAAGAAAACTTCACTGAACTTCATGATGAACATCTGAACAATGCAAATTGCATAAACATGCTTTACAAGTTTATTGTGAGAAAACGCATTTATTTTTAAATTATAAAATGATTCAGTGAATAAGCACTCTGTAAGATGACGATTTCAGATGACATTAGTCTTCTGAAAAAATATATATATATATATATGTAATAATAAAATTCCATAGTCAAGAATACACTTAAAATTCTAACTGTATGTTCTTTTCATTTTTTAATGGCGACGTTCTCTTACTTGAAAGTACGTGGAATTAAATTCACAGCCCCGTCGTAGTCAAGTTGTTTTTCCCGCCTTTTCTACACTACAGTTATAGAATGTTCTGGAAATATTTTAAAGCGAACTGGATTGGCTGACGAGGTGACGTCATTTCTTGGAAGCTTCCGCCTTTCCAGAGGCTATAAAAAGGACTCGCGAAAGAATATCGGCGGCTTTTTCTTAAATGTCACGATGCAGTAAACTTCATACAAAAAGTTATTAGTAATTATTTTTATTTGCTCCGGATATCTGATTTTGTAACTGCTATTTCTCCTGAATAATAATAAATGGATCCTGTTTTTTAAACTTATCGTCTGATAATTTAAGCTACGACTACATTTTATGATTCTTCACCAATCTTTTATTCTGGACAAAAGCTGGTACATCACATATATATATAATATTAGACAGGCGATTTTTAAATACTTATGCTTATTTATGTTCTCCAAAATACTGATCACAGCTGGTCGTCTTAGGGAGGTAGCCATCATGAGTTTGACCACCATCATCACCACCAAGATTTGGCGACTGAATTCCTCAATCCCTAGTCGCCTTTTAACACTTTCCGGCACGCTACCTTTTAAAGTTGGAATTTTGATTTAAAAAAAGGTAGGCAGTCTAATTAGAGCACACAAGTAAAATTTTGTGAAAACTTATCGTTTAATTCTGTGGGTGTGCCCACTGGGCACACTGATTGAATAGAGCTTCGAAAAGAGTGCTGAAACGAGCATTGTTGTCAATGAACTGACCGACGAAATGCGAAGAAACAAAGAATACAGAATCTCAGTTGTCCTAGATGATCGGTGAGCCCGGTCTGGTCACGCCTATGGTTTGCCGTTTGATTTTAGGCAAGATTTCATGGTAAAAATTTAAAACTAATATAGAATAAGGAGATTAGCATACAGCCAAAAAAATAACATAGAAATTTATTTTCAAACATTTTTACCCTAAAAAAAATCTGGAAGATTTCTTTGAAAAATGAGTGTCTTAAAAAACTAAACATGGCTAAAATATATGGACTGGTTTGTGTTGAGCTGCCATCTACTATAAATGAAGAAGGTTCAGAGTAACCTATAGTAGCCTATAAATCGTTTTTCATTAAATTTTTCTGTGCGCAGAGAAGGAAATTTTTAGGTGTGTCCAGGCCGGACACACTGTGCCGCAAAGGATTAAAAGGGGAAGTATATAAGGTATTTTCTACGTCCTTATAGCATGCCTTTGGTGTGTAACGGTTGCACACCCTGCGCGTATTCGAAGGGTCCAGGTTTGAGTCTCTGGAAGGGCATTGCACATTTCCCCCCCTCCTGCTTCAAGAAAAGGCCTCATGACTCTACAGTGTAATTAAACATTTCTGTATATTCACGATGTGGAATGCCTTCCAGCATGTCGTCATGCTGGAACGGTAGCAGCGCGTATTCCCGGAGAGGGCATTACTCATTTTTCAAGTCTTCTGTTTCCCCCCGAAAAAAAAAAAAAAAAAAATCCGAATGACTTTAAAGTGTTCATATGCATTCATTTCTTAGGAACATATGGAAAGCAGCTACAGACCCCGAATTTAAATATCTACCTGTAAGAGAATCGGAGAATACAGAGGCTGTTCACACATTTTTTAGACGAAGTATATTGTATTCACAAAACGAAATTACATAAAATTCTTCTGTTTAAATGTTCTACTTGACATCCCTTATTCTGAACTATCTTTCGACACCGCAATTTCCAGGATAATAATGCCTTTTGAAGTGGGAGAAGAGGTATTCTATCCCATTCCTCCCGAACAGCTTTCCAGAGTCCTGTTAGGGTTTGGGGACAACGTTTGGATAATGCAATTTTTAAAAGTCCGAAAGCACAAAAAATCCATAGGTGACACATCGGGAGATTTAGTAGGGATATCAAGTGAAGGGTATGGTTCTTGATACCAGTTTCTTGTTCCATTTCTTTAGGAAATTTACAGTGGATTTTGATGTGTGACTGGCTATCTTTGTTCCTGATGGAGTCTCACAGATGGATGGCACTGTGGGTAAAGCGATGGTATTTCATTCAGAAAAATTGGCGACAAAATATGTTCCTGATAGTATTTGGAGTTAATCTTGACATTTTTTTCACTCTTTATTTTTAACTTGCCATTATAAGAAAAACCAGCAACAATCATGAATCCCTTAGAAAAACTTTCTTTCGATTCTTTGAACCATGTACTTAATTTTTTTCTCCCCTTTTATGATAATAAATGGCTCTTTTTTTGTTACAATCATTTAAATATACCCATGCTTCATCTATTGTGACAATTGTTTTCCATTTTTCTTTGGATAAGTGTTTCTCATATAGAATTCTGCAGCGTGTCCTGCGTTGAGCGATATGCTTTGGAAGAAGACGAGGCACATTGCGTTTTTTCGCTTTCTTAAAATTTAAATCAACGTTTGTCATTTTGTTTACAGTGACACAGAGCATTTTAATGATTTTGCAACTGTCCTTTGACTAGGGGGATTTTCTTTTAACACTAAACAACGTACCTTTGCAATAGTCGAAGATGTCCGTTTTTTCCTTGGGTACTTGTTTGGAATTTTTGTCCCACTTGAGGCTCCAATTTGAAGTTTTTTTCCTTTCGCGTTGATGATACTACCTATCGACGCTTTAGATATCACAAAACTATGACTCTCACCAAAAAAATAACGTTTTTATAACTCCGTTTTGGATAACGGAGTATGCATATTTCTCTTCGGAAAGAGCGTAAATGTAGCCTTCGAACCACTGCTTTGTTAAATTCGCCATTTGGAATAAAAACAAAACTTTCAAGCCACAGACGATAATTTTGACTTTTAGAAACATAGTACAATTGCAATTTGTTCTTTTGCAGCAAACGAGTTTTTATTACCGCTTACCAAAATCGTCTAAAAAATGTGCGAACAGCCTCTGTAAAGTTTCTCAGAAACACCAAATTAACTAGTACATATATAGAAATGTTCTGCAGATTTTTATCGGGAGGAAAATAAAAAATATAATACGCTATTATTTTCAACCATGTACTGAACTAACATTCATAAAAAACTAATGTTTACATGGTTTTATTTATCGATTTTATTATTGATTAATCGAATTTAATATCTTTGTTCGAAACGACATCTTTTCATGAATCGAATTAATATTTAAAAAAAATATCTTATTTTAAAACATGTAATAAATTAATGCTTAATAATTTATTTATAAACGGTTATCATACGTCTGGTAGTCATGTTTCGTAACCGTTATTAATAATTTCAATTAATATCTTTATTATCAATTAAATTTATAGTATAAATGATATTCTATGAAAATGGCTGTATGCTTCATTTCCTTAAAATTTCTATCCTAGACATGTAACTGCTATTGCATTCCTAAAATAAAGCACAGCATTTCATGAAAACAGTGTTGTGTTAGCGTTATACGTAGAAAGACCATACAAAATTGAAATAAGTTTTTTCTGTAGAGCAATTGTTGTTAGAAAACTATCAAGTTTATTTTAATACATAAAAAAAAAGGGAATTTACATAGATAATGGGGAACAAGTTGAGCAGTTTTGCCTTTTATCGAAGTAATTCAAGAATTTGAGAAGTAGTTTAGAGAACAGCCATGAAATAAAAGTTGAGTTAGTTTGAAAATAGCGACATTTGGCATCCATTGCTTGCATGTTAGCGCTTTCAACTGGCACAGTCAAATGCAAATTCTTAGAGAAATTCATCTAAGTCTGCTAAGTTACAGATTCAATAGGTTTTTTTTTTAGACCAAAGGGGCAATTTGCCCAAAAGATCTATTAATTCAGTTTTGGCATTTTGTATCGGTTCACTTTTCGAATTGTTGCCACCAAATATATTTAAAGAATGATGATTATATTTAAAGAATGAAGAATCTGCATAAATGCATGTATGTTTCCCGCACTGCGAAAAAAAACTACGGTAACTAGAGACATCAAATTTTGAATAACGTAGTCCTCCATTCCAATATAGGCATCTGGAAGCCCGAATTCGGAATTTGTTTTGTTACCTGTTTCATATTTTGCCAAACATTAAAGAATTTTTCATTAACAAACTCTACGATTTCAAATCGAGCAATGGCAACAATGTACCAAAAAAAATCATTTTTATCTCCAGCAAAACTTTAACAAATATTTAATTAACACGCTCAACGATTTCAAAGCGAGCAGGGGCATCTCCAGCGCTCGAGACTGTCTATCGGAAATTCTAAAGATATGCTGTTTTTAAATACTTCTAGCCCGAATGTTCTTGAAATATGTATGTGTGTGTAATATAAAATCTAAATAAAATTATCTAATGTGTGTAATATGAAATCTGAATGCTTTCCTCCCCCCAAATCGAGATCTTATTTACAGCTTCTTCTTCATAAAATCATATTAGAGAATAATACGTCCCTAACGGATTTTAGCAAAGCAGTTCAAAAAAGCTAATTTTGTGTTAAAATTAATCAATTCTTTTAAAGTTAATTAAGCTAATTAATTAAAAAATCTTTTTATGTTGAGTTATCCGTATAATATGTGATAATATTTCTATCTAGGTAATACCAGTTGTTGTTGACATAACAGCAAATCACAGGGGCTTCTTTGAATTTCGAGTCTGCCCTAGCAAACATGAGATGAAAGAAGTTACTCAAGACTGCCTAGACAGATACATCTTAAAAATTCGAAACAAAACAAGTACTAGATATTACGTCCAAAAACATGGAAAATCCAGAGTTATACTCGAGGTGCAACTTCCCAGAAGCCTAACTTGCAAACACTGCGTTTTTCAGTGGACATATATAGCAGGTAAGTTAAGAGGTTAAAAATTATAAATACACTGGTGACGTAACGAACACAATACACTCTGCCATGGCGTTTATTGCTTGAATCTTTCGGTTATCCAGGACGCTATTTACCATAAGTTATTACGATAATAATTTTAATACTTGAGTTCCATCCAAAATTATAAATCAATTTTAGTGGCTATTAAAAACATCAATAACGTTGAAAATAACTAGTCTATTATTTATGAGCTGTAAAATATTTATTTACCAGTTCATTAGTTACTAGTTATTAGTTATAAAAAAAATATTAATTTATAAAATTACTAGTTTATTAATTATAATAATACTGGTTTTTATAAAATTACTAGTTTTATTAGTTATAAAAATATTCATTTACTAAGTTATTAGTTACTATTTTTACTAGTTTATTAGTTATAAAAATACTTACTCAGTAATTTATTAGTTACTAGCTTATTAGATACAAAACACTTGAAGCAAGTCCAAATCGCTTTAAATAGCTCTTAAATTGCTATTATCACTCAAAAATTGAGTTACTTTGGAATCTGTTGAAATTTGAACAACTTTTATTCTGTGAAACATTTTAAGAAAAAAACTTCTGGTTCATTGTGAACCTCTGTATTTATTTTTAGCTTAATATTAGTGTATTAACTATAAAAATGTCGGTATCCGGACATAATCCCGACAGCCGAAATCCCGACAAGCCAAAATCCCGACAGGGTCGAAGTCCCGACTAGCCAAAACCCGAACAGGGGTGAATCCCAGTTAATATCCCGACAGGGTCAACATACCGACACGGGCGAAATCCCAAAAAGGCCAAATAACCCCTTAACATACTTACACAGCCGCAATTAGTATATGCTTTGATGACTAGCAAATCTGAAGAAAATTACAAAAGATTATTTAGGTATTATAACAGCTATAAATGCTCCGCGCACTCAAAATGCTGTCGAGGATTGGCACAGAAGATGGGAGACCTTAATTGGACGGGCCATGTTGGCGTTTATAACATCATAGAAGGATTTCAAAAAGAACAGGAGCATGTGGAATACCAAGTTGAATGCATTCTTCGCGAAGAACAACAACCAAAACGTAGGAAGATAGATGATGACAGAGAAAGGAGAATTATGACTGTTGTGGACGATCGTGATAATCGACCTGTGATGGAATATCTTCGTGCTATCGCTCGCAATGTGTCACTGTAAATATGTCGTTTGCATGTGTAAGTGATGTTTTCTTTTTCTTAATAAAAAGAATTTTATAAATCTTCATTTCAAATTTTAACGGTCATTTCAATTTGTTAAAAATTATTTTAAGTAATGACATAATTTTTATGATTTTTTGATTTAAACTTTTAATTAGTAATATGTAATAGTTAGTTAAAAATTGTATTTTATTAAGCTAAATTGAGTGTTTGTATTTAGATATTAACTTGTCGGGATTTTGGACAGTCGGGATTTCGACCCTGTCGGGATTCTGCCCTGTCGAGATTTTGACCCTGTCGGGATTTCGACCGTGTCGGGACTTTGGGTTGTCGGGATTTCGGCCCTGTTGGGGTTTTGGACAGTCGGGATTCTGGCTTGTCGGGATTTCGGCTGTCGGGATTATGACCCAGACCCAAAAATATCTATTTATAAAATCACTAATTTATTAGTTATAAAAATATTTATTTACTAGTTCTTTAGTTACTATTTTTACTAGTTTATTACTATTCATTAGTTTTAAAAATATTTACTCACTAGTTTAGTTAATAGTTTTACTAGTTTATTATTAGTATATTAGTTATAAAAAATATTATTTATCTAAAGTTACCTAGTTTATTAGCTATAGAACAACTATTATTTTATTTATAAAATTTATTATATACTAGTTTATTAGTTACGATTTTACTAGTTTATTAGTTATAAAAATATTTACTCACTAGTTTATCAGTTACGTTTTTACTAGTTTATTATCTTAGGGTTGTTTTTTATAAAAATATTAATTAATAAAATTACTAGGTTACTAGTTAGAAAAATATTTATTTATAAAATTACTAATTTATTAGTTATAAAAAATATTTATTTACTAGTTTATTAGTTGCTATTTTTACTAGTTTATTAGCTATAAAAAAATTTACTCACTGGTTTATTAGTTACTAGTTTATTATATTAGGTTATTTTTATAAAAATATTTATTTATAAAATTTACTAGTTTATTAGTTATAAAACTACTTATTTATAGTCTATGTGAAATTAAAATTGTCTGTTTCAATTTGAGTTTAGTCTTCCCAGTCTTATACTGTAGGAGGTAGATTCAGCTGTTCTTTAATGTCATATATCTGTCTGGTTTTTTGAAAGGTTCAGATTTCAGAAAGTTGTTTTAAGTGGTCTTCTTCTTTCTTGCTCCTGAAGTGATGCATGGCATCGTCAAGGAGAAAATCCCCCATTCTTTTCATTTCAACGTATTTGGATGAAGCTGCCTTTCTGTGACCTAGAATTCTTCCAATTATGGTTAAGTAGACAAGAAGTTCTGAATGAGAATTTCCGTTTCTTCGCAAGGTCCTTGACACTTGAGATTAGCATGGACACTCTGCATTCTTCTCTTCGGTAGTAGAAAAAAATTCTCTCTGGCCCTTCTTATAATCTCCGTGGCTGGACTCCCGGTGAAGGCGGTTGCATATTTTTCTTCTTTCCTGCTTCCAATAATTATCTAATGTCTCTACAAATTAATTAGCAAAACCCATCTGCTGCGTTTCTTACAAGTTTCTAATAAGTGTTTTTAAATTTTTCGTCTGGATTTTACTGACCAAAGAGAAGTGATAATAAGCCTAAGTTATTTCCTTTCTCTGAGAGAATTTCTTTAATTGAAGTAATTATGAAATTTATACTCTGGAAAGCCTTTATGTAGAACGAAAACTAACCTCTGCCGATTTCAAATTTTAGGTAACAATTGGGGTAAATGCAAGGATGGATCCCATGCTCTGGGTTGTGGTCCACAAGAAACATTTAAGGCCTGCGCCGATATATCTATTGGAGAAAAGTCATCAATTCTCGCCCAGCCCATCAATACAACACTCTTTCAAAATACGGTGAAAGATAAAAAGAAATTCCCTGTCTTCACACCCTTTGTCATCCGTGGAACAACATTTGAAGAAGCTTTGGAGAACATCAAGAAAAACCCAAAGCTTAGATGGATGCTGAAACCAAAGAAGTCAGATTCTTAAGTCGTCTTCACAAATGATTCAAATTAAGGTCGAGAAAGGGTGAAAGATTTAAGAAATTTTTCAACCAAATCAAACTCACAACAGTGACTTTCGAACTCTACATGCATCATTTTTACCAAATGAAATTCTAACTCATTGTGTGAAATGAAGCGAAGCGAATGGGGGGGGAGGTGAGAAATGATTTTGAAGTTGAACACTATTTCGTAAAGGCATCTTTTACAATGCTAAAGAGATGTTATATATTGTATTTCATAATGAGCTTGTTAATATCATTACTACGCAGAAAGTCATCTTATTTATTTTCTATAAAAGTGTGTATCTTTATGTAAAAATAAACATTTTTGTTCCGCTCGGTTGCTTTGTAATTCATTCATGTAAAGAAACTGTAAAATTTGAGAACAGAATTTCAAAAGCGAAATATTGCTCTTAAAAATATAATATTTTAAAAACGAAAAGCTTGCGTTAAGAGAAATGATGGCATCACATTAATTAATTTAAGAACTGTTAATTTTATACTTATTTCACCAACTTACATGCAGCCAGCTAATATGACTGCATTAGATTCCGAGGGGATAGGATTTCTCACCCCTTTTCTGAGAGACCTGATACGGAGATTTTATAACAGAATGAGCTTTTCTTCAGTTTGTTTTGTCACTTTAACCATACGGCGTTTTCCTGACGGTTCTTCTACTTGTTGTTTATCTGTTAGTTCATCTACTGTCTACTTTATTTAAAAGAAAAGAGCTTTACTTTAGCGATGATAGCTACATTATAACATAAAGGCGCGGTATTATATATAATATATATACCTTTGCGGATGAGGTTCAATTTCCTTTGCAAAATTAATTTTTTGTTTACTTGTCTAATTGCTTCGTGTGTTGTGACTTGGGATATATCCTTACACATGAATCAATTTTTAACCCTTTCCGGCAGGCTACCTTTTAAAGTAGAATTTTTTATTTAAAAAAAGGTAGGCAGTTTAATTAGGCCTAGAGGAGTACACGAGTAAAATTTTCTGAAGATAGCACTTATCGTTTTAATTCTGTGGGTGTGCCCAAAGTGGCACAGTGATTGAATAGAGCTTTGTAAAGAGTGCTGAAACGAGCATTGTTGTCAATGAACTGACCGATGAGATGCGGAGAAGCAAAGAATACAGACTGTCAGTTGTCCTAGATGATCGGTGAGTCCGGTCTGGGATCACCTAGGGTTCGCCGTTTGATTTTAGACAAGATTTCAAGGTAAAAATTTAAAACTAATATAGAACAAGGAGATTAGCATACAGCCAAAAAAATAACATAGAAATTTCTTTTCAAACAATTCCTTTTATACCCTAAAAAAGCTGGAAGATTTCTTTGAAAAATGAGTGTCTTAAAAACCTAAACATGGCTAAAATATATGAACTGATTTGTGTTGAGATGCCATCTAATATAAATAAGGAAATTTCAGAGTAACCTATAGTAACCTATAAATCCTTTTTCACTCAATTTTTCTATGCATACAGGAGGAACTTTTTAGGTGTGTCCAGACCGGACACACTGTGCCGCAAAAGGTTAAACCTGAAATGGTGTTTGAATCACATAAGCTATGATCAAGAACTCAATAAATTAGTTTCTTGAAACAACAATGAGGCAAGCTCGGAAGGAATTTTCTTCTTTCGCAGCACGTGCCTCCGTAGAGTAAATTGGAAGTGCGTTAGGCTAGCAAGCGGAAGGTCCGATGTTCGAATCTCGACTAGGGCTATATCTACTGTGGTGGTCAAATAAAATGTGGGGAACCATAATTCGGTGTAACTTGAATTTGGCGACTTTTTTACCCTCCCCACTGCCTCTTAAAATGATAAGGTAATTTCTCATTAACTACACCTTCATGATGTAATTGAAAGCCCGTATGACTAACAGTCGGGAGGTTTTGAATTCGAATCTTGGGAAAGAACACCGCTTATTATTCGTGTTGTCTGGCTTCAAAATAAATGACTAATAGCTCTACGGCCTTTTTCGAAACAGAATCCATCAGCTATAGAATTTCTGAAAATTACATTTGAAAGAAATATTTTGCATATTTCCTAAATAAATTTTTTAAAGAATTATACCAATGTTCATGAAAAATGCAACATCATGAAGGAATTGCCGGTAATACACTAAATCATGGCACTGAATCATACAGGTTCTGATTGTAATCCTGGGGAATGGCATTCTGTATGGCTTCCACCCGACGCCAAAGTTCAGTCTTTTAGAATTGACTTTAAGATACCCCTTGTATTATCGCGAAGTTCTTGTTTCGTTTATCGCCAAGTTGTTGTATCATTTATAGTAACCCGAGTAGTTGAATGTTATGGAAACCCTATTATGACGTAATCGTTTGCATTATTCTGGGAAATTTTGAATCATGGGATGTTTTGCAAAGGCTTTTGTGGTGTGTGTTGCTTAGGAAGTACATTGCTTGTTTCATTGTTTAGACGGTACAATGGCGGAATGTAGTAGGATTAATTTGAAGTTTCTGTACTATTTAGAACGAAAGGGGAAAAGTGCATTAAATGAGTGAATTAATTGTGAAAATGAAGGTTTACTTAGTAGCCATAGTCCGGAACTACGTAGTATATTTTTGACTCTTATTTTTGTGGATTTCTGTTTTTTGGCGACGCCGATATACGGATTCTAGTTGTTTTAGGAAGATTTTGGATGCTGTTAAAGAATTTTGTGTGCCACAGACTGAAGACGAACGAATTTCTAAATAAGGTAAGGGGATTTTTGTTTTGTGTAGTGCTAAAATGCATAACAGGTTTTTCCTTTTTTGTGTTATTTTATTGTTTGGTTTAAAATGTAATTTATTGAGATTATGTATTTATTGGTAAACTCATCCTAGTATACGGTGATAAGCCTTGCGCGATTTTGAAACTTTTCGCCAAAACAAAGAACACGACCCAAAAAACGTCTATGTAGATAAATTATACTATCACTAAAAATATTAAAGTACACTAGTATAATTATAATATTCTTTGAATGACCCGTTTCTACCATCGCACATATGTCCCGTTTTTACTGCCTACAATAAAACCAACTATTTTTTCCTCTTGCGTACAATCGGTTGAAAATCTCGTTCTAGATGGTGCCCGTTCTTTCTATGGCACTGTAACCTACTTCTGTTTACCTAGAAAAGAAAGTATAGAAGGTCAAAAACAATCTGAACAGATTTTCAGATTTTTAAATTGCGTCTAATGGCGTTTCATTTAGTAATTTCTGTTTTGTTTGTTGTCTTTATTTATGAATATACACAGGTTCTTCCCGACTTAAACCATCAATTCCAGTTCAATTTTTGGCGTATGTCCAAAAATTGTTTAGAATTGAACTGCCTATGTTACTAGAATTATAGAAGGAAAAAAAAATCTGAAAGATTTCAGATTTTAAATTACGTCTAAAGGGGCGTTTTTTTAACGTTTTGTTTGTTGTCTTTATTTATGAAATATCATGTTCTTCCCACTTAAACCATAAATTCCAGTTCAATGGCAATGTCCCAAAAAATTTTTAAAATGAGCCTATGTTTAGAATTTCCGATACACAGTTCCGAGCGCTGGATATAAAAAGGTCCCCCCCCCACCTCCGTAGATCGTTGCCATCGCTCGCTTTCAAATCGTTGAGTTTGCTACTCAAAAATTCGTTAAGGTTTTACAAAATATGAAATCGATCATAAAACAAATTTCAAATTTCAAATTTGATCTTCCACATTCCCATATTCGTAAGACGATTACGTCATTCGAAATTCGATGGCTCTAGGTATCGTTTTTTTATCTCAACGCGAGAAATAGACATACATTTATGCAGATTTTTCATTATTAATTTCTCAAATATATGCCAGGACCTAACATGGTGGCAACAGTTTGAAAAGTGAAACGGAGATTTATAGTGATTCAACGCAAAATCGCAAAACGGAAACAATAGTCCTTCAGGGACAGAGGCCTTTTGAACTATAATAATTTCAGCAACACTAAAAAAAAAAAAAAAAAAAAGACATACGGGATACTCAGTGTTAAAGATTTATAAAGAAAATCAACAGTTTTTTTAACAGTATCATCTATAACACAGTTTCTTAAACTCGACCCCCCACCTGGATCAGGGGGTCGCCAAATATTTTAGCAGTTTTGATATTTTTTGAACTTATTATAATAATTTACAATTACCAAATATTTTTACACGATGTGTCTGAAAATATCTAAAGATAAGCAATACAGACGATGAAAAATGTAAACGTTTCGACGCATTCCATTTATAATATAAACGTCCATTTTTACTTGCTTTGCACTTGACGCTGTCATTTTGTCTGTTACTTATTTAAAATTTTCACATTGTTCTGTATCTTAAAATTCGAAATTAAAGGTAATGATCTGTAAGGTATTTCTGCCGACTTCTCAGCCCGCCTTCGTCGTGTGGTGGTCTGCACGCTGGGCGCGTATTCCAGAGGTCCGCGGTTCGATTCTTGGCTAAGTCATTGCTTATTCTTCACTTCTCCTGCTTCCAAACAATCCTTATGTCTCTACAGACCTAAAACTGCAATACTGTACAGCCAAAAGTCGTTAATCCGGACACCCATAATCCGGAATGATCTATAATCCGGACCTCAAAGCTACAAACTTTCTGCGCATAATACGTTTACGCATGCGCGTTTAATGTATAACGGACGGTATAAGCTGAGCTAAAATTATCTAATTCAGTTAATATTGCGGATTGCGTTGTTCTTTTTAATTTAATTTTAATTGATCTTCTAATTGGATCCGGCTTATTATTTTTTGCAGACTCTTAGAGCAATTTTATAAAAGTAAGTTGGAACTTTCGATTATGTCAAATAGAATTTCCGTTGCTGGAGCTGCAAAAGGATCTACAAAGGCAAAGCATGTTTCGATGTCCATGAAACAAAAAGTGGAATTGCTGAAAAAAAATGGATAATGGCATATCTTTAGTTTCTCTAACCATTCCGAAATCTGTTTATCAATTTCACGCTGCTCTGCGCAGGGGGGGAGGAATGAACTGGAAGTTGATCTGTCAGCACTATCCTCATCTTCAGGGCAGATGTTTTTAATTTATTCGGCTTATAATTCCTTACTAAATGTAGTATTTCGTCTCGATGTACTCCGTCTTTCATATGATTTAAATCAAATTCCTCGTCATTATAAATATCACGAATACAAATCAAATAGCTTTCTGGTTGCAATTTTCTAATTTAGACTATGCGTAATGTGTGCTTTACACATGCGCGCGTGGAAAGAAATGTTTAATGAAGTAAACAAATAAATACTAAGCTTTTTCTTTTGTAAATGTTGATACTCTTTAGATCATAATTGCTCTTTATTTCATAAATTACGGTTTCATATTTTTAATTTTATAATTTTTGCATGTCATCTTACTAGATTTAAACTGATGATCTATAATCCGGAAAAATTGATAATCCAAAATCGCCGAAGTCCCGACGAGTCCGGATTAAAGACTTTTGACTGTATTACAGTACAAGTTACAAAATTGACGGTTTCACACACGTGTGTGTTGGATTCGAGCAATGTCTGTAGGGTCCAACAAAATGTTCATAAATATTATAGGGTCCTGGGGTCGCAAAATATATATATATATATATATAAATCTCAGTGATAAAAAGGTGTCGCGACTGAAAAAAAGTTTAAGCAACCGTGATCTGTAAGAAACATGCAGTCTTTCAAACATTTTGAATCGTGTAAATATAATACTAGCGAAACTTTCACCGGATAAAGAACATCAATAATTTACTGATAATAAAAAGCAGAAATAGCATTTTAGATACTCCGACTTTTCATTTCTTTTCACATGACTACAGATTATTTTTAGAGCAGACGAATGAGATTTAGTTGACGTTTAACGGAACGAAAAGAAAGATGAAAAGTGACGCTCAAGGACGACGCTTCCGTTCTGAAAGCATGTGTCATAATATTTCTAGTCGCGGTTATCGTTGCATAGATGGTGGATGGTAGATTCGTTTCATCCTAAAGCATGTGAACTGTTGCGTTTTCTTTGCCTAAAAAGACACAAATATTTTATTTCCGTTTGGATTCATTTTGCAGTATTGCTTGACAGGTGAGGTTTAAATATTTAAAAATTAATATGCTTTGATAAATTTATAATATTTCAAAAGGCTTTTAATATTTTAATTAAGGGGTGTTGGAACCCCAAAATCTTCAAAAAAGTGTGATTTCGGATTTTTGCATTTTCAAATTCTCTACACTTTTATCTTTCTAAAAATACCATTCTTTAATCTCTATGAAAATTAGAACTGTAAAAAAAATCTGGTTTTAATTTGTCATCTACTGCTTTGATCAATGAGGATTTTACTAAAAAGCGTTTTTCTCCAAACGTGATTTTTTTATACTCGATGTACCTTTTCTCAGAAAACTACTGCTCACAGGTACTAAACTTTTTGGCTATTATTAGGTTCCCTAATATTTACTGAAATTAGTTTTTTGTAATAAACTTAGAAAAAATTTCTAAAATTTTTTTTGTGTGAGAAAATGCTAAATTTTACTATGCATAAAAATTATTTCGTAAATACTCTAAATTCAAAAAGTTCAAAGCTCTTTCAGTATAATCAGATAGGTAACTTTAATTACAGAAAAAATTTTAAGCGCTTGTCAGCAGATTTTGAAGAAAAGTACATCGAAATGGCCATTTTTAACTTGTCCGGTATAGGGGTTTCTAATACCCCTTAATGACATAACAGGCTGGACAATCCACTGATCATGAGCTATTCATCTATTAGATATTATTGTTATTGAGCGATCTCTAAGACGACCAGCCCCCGGTTAAAGAAGATTTTAGCCTTCTGTTAATGTGGTACTCTTACAGAGGTGTTATCAGTAGTATTGTTTGTCCACATTGTAAGAAATACTGGTCACTTTAAAGGTGGTCGTCTTAAAGAAGTGGTTAGCGTGGTTCGGTTTATTTTATTTTATATTTTTTATGCACTGGTAGATTACGACGACTAAAGTGCAGAATCGCTCATTTATTTGTTTGGCGCTTTTTACAAGAGTAAGAAGAATTGGAGTTTTTTCAATTTTCTTTGACTTTTAGTGAAATAGGTCGATGTGTACATGGATAAAGGAAGTGCACAATGCCATTTTTGTGCTATTCTGGGATGTTTTTTGAAGTGAAAATAGATCGATGTGTACATGGATACCGAGTATGTGCAATTTTTAAAAACGCGCCAAGCAGTGGGCGATTCCGCACTTTCCTCGATTGCGACTTCGCTCATAATTCAGAAAAACAAGAACGTTGACCAGCACTGTTATATAGCAACATAGCTTTTACTATATACTGCAGTCAATTAAAAAGCAATTACGATTTTGACTTTTCTCAAATATGTTAGAGTTTTTCCCCCTTTAATTTTGGTCAATTTTTCTAATTATATGTCATTATATTTTTGGTTTATTTACGCAATTTTGTAATTTTGATTCTTTTATTCAAAAGGTTTGTGAGTTGCTAAAATAAGTAAGTTCTTTTAAATTCTATTGTACTTAGTATATTCATGTTTACATATTTATATATTACTCTATATTTAAAATAAACTGCATGAAATATTTTCTATCCTACCTTGGATCTGAGAGACGTCATGACAGGTTATTTTAAGTAAAAGTGTTACGTGAAAGGCTTACGCTTTATGTGAAAGTGTTACGTGTTACATGTTTACGTAAAAGTGTTACGTGAAGGAAACTGACATATTTTTAAAGCCTATCACTTAGTTCTTAAACTGAAACCCGGGTTTCAGTTTAAGAACTAAGGTAAACTAAGTTTAAGAACTAAGGTTCTTAAACTAAAACCATGGGTTTCAGTTCAAGTAGGTTGGACCTAAGGTTTGCAATTCAAGAGCTATTTAGTTCTTGAAATGTTTTGAAACACACCTTTTGGAGTGTATAAAACACATTTTAAAAATTAACAAACTAATCCAATACTTATTATTAAAATTTTGCCAGCAATATGGAAAGTTCGTTTATGCTAGCGAATTCCTATCATTTTTCAAATTATAATCTAAAGAGATTGTTAGACTTTTTTACAACAAGAAGCATCAAAAATCACCCTTTCGGTTACAAGGGTTCAAGTTGCGATCTCTTCTAGCTGCTAGGTGGATGTACTAATATTTCCATCCAAGAACACGCGAAAGGAAATGCTGTAATTCTATACATTCTACCCCATTTGAAAAGTAACTTAGAATAAGAATGAAAACTATTTTAATAAATCCAGAAAGTCGTAAAACAGACAGTTCCGCTGCAGGCAGTACAAAAAATTAAATGTAACCTTCGTTGGATTTGAGCTATGGTTCTGCTAATTGGTACATGGACATGCTAACTATTTAGACTACGAGGGCACGTAGGGTGGAACCACATAATTCCTTAGAAATGTAAACTTCATTTCAAAATGGAAAACGAGGGATGAAAATCTTGAGACATCTTAATGCAAAGTTTGAACTTAAGGCAAAATAATGGGAAACTTGTCTACTGTGAGTTCTAGACTTTATGTGAATGAATTCTTTAAGCAAATTTCACTTTTTATACAATACTGTCTAAATTTCAATCCACTGTCTCGCTTCAGGATGTATCCAGGTAAAAGTCCAGCAATTTATTAAAAGCCACGGATTTCATAAATGTGATTGACAAGAATTTCCTTAGTCGTGGCTCATAAGGTCAGGAAGAATTTTTGTAAACTCGGAAGTATGTTATTAACCAAATAATTTTGCTTTCTATATATGCGTTTCTTAGATTCGTGGGCTTCGCAAAAATAACTAGTGTGTAAAAGGATTTCTGGATTTGTATTCCAGCTTTGGCTAATCTTTGGAATATGGTAACAGGCAGTTTGGCGACATTTTGGTAAGACGATAAAGGTTACTAGCTAGGACTTTAGCAATAGTCTGATAAGTACACAGTTCGAATCACAGATTATTTTGTCTCAGAGAAATGAGAGATCATGAGACATGTCATGTGACATTTTCCGGAAAATTCCGATCGTGATTTTAGCTATAAGCACTTAGAAACAATTTCGTTGCTAAAGTGCAGAATCGCCCACTTATTTGTTTGGGCTTTTTACAAGAGTAAGAAGAATTGCATTTGTTGTCAATTTTCTTGAGTTTTTAAGTGAAAAATAGGTGATTGTGTACATGGATAAAGTCAAGAGTGTGCCCAATGCCATTTTTGCGCAATTCTGGGATTTTTTTTGAAGTGAAAATAGGTCGGCGTGTACATGGATACCGTGTATATGCAATTCTTAAAAACGCGGCAAGCAGTGGACGATTCTACACTTTCTCCCAATTTCGCACCTAATCTTCGTCATGATTAAGCACTTTTGTTCCATAAAAGTTCTAGTATAAGCGTAATTCGGCTAGCAGATTGTTGGAAAAAATGTTAAGTAAAAAAAAAAGCCTTTACTTCGTGAAAACAAAATGGCGTACAAAAAAAAAAAATAGCAGTTTGTTGTAGCAGGGTTGGTCGCCAAAGTTTCGCCAAGTTACCATAATCTAAAGATTCACCCCAGCTTTATTTTGTGCTTCGATAGCTAGGTTAAGTTACTTGAGTATAGCGAAACATAGCATGACTACTTATTTAAGGGGAGAAATGCCTTCGCGGAGGACTTTATAAGAGAAACTGGCTCGTATTCACGTTTTAGAAGTAAGGAAAACCAACCACGCAGCCACTCCATTCGCTTATCTTCCAACCTGGGTCGAATAAGCAATGTTCAGCGGTTTTAACCACTCAGTCAGTGGGGGAGATTGTTCTCGGTAAGAAAAGAATGTAAATGTTTGGTGTTGGTGTATTTAATTATGGCAAAGCACACTAGGGCTATCAGCCTAAGGGGAGGGATACCTTCGTGGAGGACTTTCTAAGGGAAACTGGCTCGTATACCCGTTACACATGTGGAAAAACCGAAAACGCCCATGCAACCAGCCCGTTCGCGGGATTCGAACCTCGGACCGAACTACCAGTGTTCAGCGACTTTACCGCTCGGCCGCTGGTGGGCGAAAATACGTTTAGAAAAGATAATTATGTGATGAGAAAAATTATTCAATGGAATGCTGTATTTTGAAATAAATGAAATACCAAGAGATTAAATAATCTTCCGCATATAAAACTGAAATTGAAAGAAACGAAAAGCGACAATTTCTTCATAATCAGAAGAATCAAATTTCATTTAAAATATGTAGTATTTAACAAGTGATCATCGACTACTGGGGGACCACCAGTGGCAAAGCGGTAAAGTTGCTGAACACTGGTAGTTCGGTCCGAGTTTCAAATCCCGCTAACGAGCTGGTACATGGGCGCTTTCGTTGTTTTACCCATGTGTGACGTATATACGAGCCAGTTTCCTTTGAAAGTCCTCCACGGAGGCATCCCTCCCAAAAAAATCACATAAACCAAACTACTGAAAATAACTGTAGCAGTACATGTATAATTCGATAATAAATACAGGAAAGCATTTATCTTGTCTTCTTGCAATAATGACAATATTTTCAGTTCTAATATTCATGTTGGTGACCGATAGTCATATTCCAGCCACCTTCACAGAAGATAAAATTTTAAATGTGGACTCAGTTTCACAATACCTTGTAAGAAATTTAAAAAACGTAACATATGAATTGTTTCAAATAACGAATTAAGCTTCGAATAGAGAGCCCTTTGCCTCTCATTCGTCAAGATTATCTTTCGAAGTTTCCTGCACTGGCGCTGGAAAATTCTAATCACTTTGGCTATAAACTTCTACGATTACTTCTGACCTCTGCCAAATGGACCCGGAAAAGACAAACAGTTGCCTTTTTCTTTTCTTCTTTCCTCTCCTTTCTTCCCAGCTTCTACAGCTACTGTAACTTAGTACGTAAACACTTGAATCATGATCTCAAAGCTAAACCAAATGTCGTGGAAAAAAAAAAAAAAATCACAGCTCCACTTACTTCCGTATTGGGTTGACTCACGGAACCCTTAGGACTAAATGGTTTTTACAGGAAACCCTACTTTACTCTTAGAAAATTATTTTTTTAATGATATTTAAAGTAGATCAATATGTTATAGGTGTTTCATGTAAAGACAATTGGAATATAGTGTCTATTATTTAAAAATATTAACATAAATGTGATGTAATTTCAACATTAATAACATTAACTCGTGTTCCAAGGTTGAACCTTGGATTCCAGGCTGCCCTTACATTTTATTTAGTGACAGGAATTTTTTTACTCAAACTATCGATGTCTAGTTGTATTGATGCTATCTGAAGTCCCATTTTATAGTCTGCATTTAATTTGTTTCTAGATTTTATTCTACACAGCTCTCTTTTACATACTAGCGGTCATACAGATTCCGTAGCGAACGTGGATCTATTTTGCATACATGTTAACTGACCATCGAAAAACCGGAGCTACTCTCGTACATACATATATACATACGTCATGCTGACGTCGGGTCACTGACATTAGCAGCGAACAAAGGAAGCTTCTGATTTAATTTTCGAAGATAGCTAAATGAATCTTTATATTTTTTAGGTTCTAAACAGTAGTAAATTCAATGTGAGTACTTTGTAATTTTCTTTTCCAATTTTTATTCCACGGAACACTGTTTTAAATACTGCTTATTTCCTTGCAATGCTTTTCAATTTTCAAGCATGATAAAAAAAAAAAAAAAAAAAAAAAAAAAGATGAATCATTGTGACTCGAGTCCTGTACCTCTCAACTGCGCATTGAGTATGCTTCCAATTGTAACAGGAAGTCATGCGGGAAGGAGGGAGAAAGTACCTTATATACTCCCCCTTTTAATTGTTGTTATGCCTCCGTTGGCAAGATCCTTGAGCAAATTACAGGCGACAATGCGATTTGCCTCAGTTCCGCCCCCAATGGTGATGGAGAGCACCCCAGGGGGAGGACGGATCCGGGTGTCCCCCACCCATTTCCTCTTCCATCAAATCACGCGAGAGGACTTTCGGTTCCCTGCATATTTAGAGTGCCGCTATGCCGCACCTACACTCTACATTTACAAACATCCATGCCTTCTCCGGGATTCGAACCCGGGCCTTTCGGTAAGGCAGTCAGAGACGCCAACCACTGTACCGGTTGGGCGGTACTTCCCCTTTTAAAGGGCGCAAGAGGATTAGGCGACCCTATCGCAAATCCTGGTGGTAAGGGATTATCGTTCACCACCTTTTAGTTCGGGCGCCATCTATAGAGTCATTACACTTTTCTGAAGCAGGAAACGTGAAAAATGTGCAGAGTCCTCGCCGATATTCAATCCCTGGATTTCTTCTGAACAACTGCAGGGGCAGTTTTGCATAATAGGTGCACTGCATAATTAGTAATGTGTAATAATTGTATAATTGGTAATGTTTCTATTATTCAGTTTCGTAACATGCACTGTAAAGTCTATGTGTGTACTACATAATCAGTATTGTAATGTATTGAAATTGTATAAATCAGTATCGTAATATATAGTGCACTGCCGCAAAATTATTTGTTAAATGTATTATAATTGAATCATTAGTAACGTAACGTATTGTAAAAGTAGCATGTTACAAAAGCCCCTGTATGACCATGTACTTATATTTTTCTCAGATATCAACAAACACTGGGACCCGGGCAGTTGGACGGCAGCGAACCCCATCGGCGGCTCTGGATAATGGCGGACGTGGTGCTGTACTGATTAACCATTAAGGTAAAGAGACAATGCCCACGTCCTCCGTCACTTATCACTTATCTGAACAACTGCAGCGGAAAGGTCATGTCGCTGAATTTTTTCCCCACTTCATTTACGTTTAACATGTTTCCATTCTGCCATAGATCATTTACAGAATTATAAATTGACAAAATTTGCTATTTCTTAACATGTTTCTAAATGTTAATTATGAGTTCCATAAATTATGAGAAGACTAATATTATTCATTCAAATATAACTTTAAACAATGATTCGACTTATAATCAAGATAAAATTGAAGTCCGTATTTCCAGAATTCTAAGTAATTAAGTTTGAAACATTGGTTTTCAATTTGAATTACAGCCTCAAATGACGTGGAGAAAATAAATGCTGTGTGTTGATCACGACACGATTTACGATTGCAAATGGGGAGGACTGACAACGGTGCTGTTATAATGTAACAGACTATAGAAATTCAGATCTCTTACAGCCCCACCCGAAAAAAAAAAAAAAAAAAAAGAAAGAAACAGCAGCTATGTATATTTGTATATTATTAAGTATATTTTTCACTTTGTACAGACATCTCTTTATTGTCTCTTGAACTGAATTTTACAATTAGTATTACCAGTTTTACAATACGTTTTTATAATTGTAGTTACCGAATAATGCGTAGCTTTTTAGTATTATTTATCTCTCTAAATATAGTACTTCTCATGTTAATTTTGTATTAATATAATGTTCTGTTACAAAAATATATTCATTTATAGGTAATTGTATGCCTTGATTTTAACTGCATTGATACGAAAATTCTTATGTATTAATATCATGTCTCCATTTCATTACTGTGTATTCTGCTACAGATTATATCTTTGTAATAGTTTTTGGTATGCTTTTGGTCTATCTGTGTGTAATGCATTCATTATTTTATGTCTTTCCTTGCATGCAAACAACGTAATGCAGAAAATTGAGTTGTCTGCACACATTGCATGTTCTTGCTAGACTACTTGAAACCTACTTGCTAGACAACTTACTATTTAATGGCCGACAAATTTCTATCTTTAGATACACATGTCTGGTTTGCATTCCAAGTACAGATCCGGCGGATATGGCACTAGAATTTATATTATTACTACTCCTATAATAAAAATTACAGTAATGTTATTACAGTACAGTAGCATTACATTACTGTAATTAATGTACAATGTACATTGATTAATTACAACGTACCGAACAACAAGGAAAGTTGGGGATATTATGAAAAATTATACAGTCAAAAGTCTTTAATCCGGACTCGTCGGGACTTCGGCGATTCTGGATTATCGATTTTTCCGGATTATAGATCATCAGTTTAAATCTGGTAAGATGGCATGCAGAAATTATAAAATTAAAATATGACACCGTAATTTATGAAATAAAGAGCAATTATGATCTAAAGGGTATCAAAATTTATAAAAAACAAAAAAGCTTAATATTTATTTGTTTACTTTATTAAACGTTTCCTTCAACGCGCGCATGGGTAAAGCATACATTACGCATAGTCAAAATTTTAGAAAATTTCAACCAGAAAACTATTTGATTTGTATTTGTGATATTTATAATGACGAGGAATTTGATTTAAATCATATCAAAGACGAAGTACATCGAGATGAAATACTACATTTAGTAAGGAATTATAAGCCAAATAAAATAAAAACATCTGCCCTGAAGATAAGGATAGTGCTGACAGATCAACTTCCAGTTCATTGTGCGCCGCGACGTCCCCCCCCTGCGCAGAGCAGCGTGAAATTGATAAACAGATTTCGGAATGGTTAGAGAAACAAAGGAGCCTTTATCTATTTTTTTCAGCAATTCCACTTTTTGTTTGATTGACATCAAAACATGCTTTCCCTTTGTAGATCCTTTGGCAGCTCCAGCATCGGAAATTCTATTTGACATAATCGAAAGTTCCAACTTACTTTTATAAAATTGCTCTAACAGTCTGCAAAAAATAATAAGCCGAATCCAATTAGAAGATTAAGGAACAACGCAATCTGCAATATTAACTGAATTAGATAATTTTAGCTCAGCTTATACCGTCCGTTATACATTAAACGCGCATGCGTAAACGTATTATGCGCATGCGTCAACACATTAATGCGTTGACGCATGCGCAAAAAGTTTGTAGCTTTGAGGTCCGGATTATAGATCATTCTTCATTATGGGTGTCCGGATTAACGATTTTTGACTGTATTTATGATGAATGGAGGGAGGAGTAGGAAAGGTCTGATCGAAATAAAGGTTATATGAAATTTGTTAAACTTTGAAAAGGTTAACGTTATTCAGACATTGACGTTAACCAAATCATTACAGGTCATGGCCGTTTTCCTTTCTATTTTAAAAGTTTCAGTTACAAGAGTCTGACCTCTGCGATATCTGTAAAGAACCGAGCATTAAATTATGTGGAAACGTAAATATTTTACAGATATCAGGAATGACTTTAAGAAAAATGATGTTTTTAATATACTGTATGATACTTTAAATGATTTTAAAAGATAAAAAATTTGCCAGGAAAATGATGGAGAAGATTAATCATGATAAGCTTGCAGTAGGGATTTTAATTTCAATTTTGTTTTTTAATTATGTTCTTCATGTTTTTGTTTTGTTGGAGATGTTGCTTTTAGCTTGCTCAGGCGGAGCCCTCAAAAAAGGGCATAGGGCGACGTAAAGTCTGCCAGGAGGGTCGGGCTACGTCCCTCATATCATACTATTCCTATAAAGTTCTGAGGTGGTTCTGATAATGGGCCCTATTATCGAAGAAAAAGAAAGTTCTGAATTTGATAACAAATTTTTTCTATTTTCAGGTTTTTGTTTCGGACATCTACTTATGCAAAATGCTTTGTGATTATATCCAAAACCTTCTGAATGCATCTCCATATTCTGTACTCATTACAGCAATAATTATCCTATTGACTTTCATTTACTATATTACAAGAGACTGGGGACTGCCTCCAGGACCCACTGGAGTACCTTTGTTGGGAGTTTATCCATTTCTGAAGGAGGACAATTTACGTCTCAAGTTAGAAGACTACAAAAAGAAGTATGGAGACCTCTTTTGCTTCAGAGTGTGTGGTCAACTGTTCATCAATTTGGGAAGTCTGAAGCTCCTACGAGAAGCCCATGTTTCTAAGTCTGAATATTTTAATGCCAGATTTACTGATTTCAGTCTGGTGAATACCATATTCGATGGCGGTAATTATATAAATTATCTAATTATATAAATTTAAATTCTGTAATTTTGTTAATTTTAAATGTGTTAAGGTTTTAGTTAGAAAGAATATGAAAAGAAATATTCGTATATGTATTGAAATTCATAATTTATGAAAGTCGGAAGAGATATATTTTTTAAATCAAACTGTATTATATTGTGATGAAAATATGCCGTCATGCTAAGAGTGTATTTTAAAGATATATTTCTATTAATGACGATAGCTTTGTCGTTTAGTTTTTATTGTTAGCTCTCAATCTTCGATTTCAGAAAGACAATTATATATAACGAATGTTAGGCCTTCTAGAGATATTGTAGAGTCATTAGGTTAATAGGAAGCAGAAAAGATGAAAAATATGCAATCACCTTCGCCGGGAATCGAACCACGGACCTCTGGAATACCGGCCCAGCGTGCTACCGTTACACCACGAAGGCACGCTAGGGAAATGGGAGAAATACTTTATAATATAAATGAAAAAACAAGAAAAATAAGTCACAGAAGTAGTATCTATTTATTTTATTTCTTTTAGTGAAATGAAAAAGTGATGACGAAGCTAAAACGTTTCCTCAGGGGAAACGAAGACATGGAATAGTATACAAATGTAAACTTGATCTTACCAAATGTGGAGGGAAAGAAACATATTCGTGACATCAGGAAAGTCCCAGCAGCGGCTGAGCGGTAAAAAGCCGGCGAACACTGGTAGTTTAGTTCGGGGTTTAAAACCCGGCGAACGGGCTGGCTGCACGGGCATTTTCGTGGTTTTCCCCCATGTATAACATGAGCCAGTTTCCTTTAGAAAGTCCTCCACGACGGCATTCCTTTCCTTAGGCAGATAGCAATCGAATGCTTTGCCGTAATCAAATAAACCAAATCGTCACATCAAGCAACGAGGAATGATAATGAATGCTATGGGTAGATAACGCTGGTTCGCATACAGTATGATAAATGTTTTAATGAATGTGCTGCCTGAAAACCGGTGACCGGAAAAATGCCCACAGGAAAAACGCCCACAGGAAAAATTCTCACAGAATAATGCTCACAGGTATAAAAGCTCACAGGAAAAAAGCCCACAAGGAATATGCCCCCATAGGAAAAAGCTCACATGGAAAAATGCTCACTTAGAAATGCGCTCACATGAAATATGTTCACATGGACAAATGCCCACATTAACCTTTTCAGGGGCGATAAATAAAAGCATGAAAACTGTAGTAAAATTTTGCATGTACTGTAATATTTTATACCACTGCCCCTGTACGACATTTTTTTTCCTGTAACTGCTAATAATTAATTTTTGTTTCTTTACTCTATTTTTGCATATTTTTGATGTGTATCTATAGAAATTGACGTTTGAAGGTAGTTATTAAGTTTGATCAAATAATGTTTCTTCAAAAAATTCAAGTTGTGTTACGATGTTCAAATCTATTAATTATTGATTGATTAATGTAAGGATATTTCGACGCATTTTATTTATCAGTGTGCTTATTTCCATGTGAGTATATATCTACCTGAGCTTTTTTCCGTGTGAGCATACTTCTAAGTGAGCATTTTTTCATGTGAGCTTTTTTCTGTGTGGGCATATTTCATTTTTGTGTGGGCTTTTTTCCTGTGAGCTTTTTCTGTGACCATTATTCCTGTGGGCATTTTTTCCTATGGGCTTTTTTCCTAGAACCCTGATAACCAAGTTTGAACTGCGAAATTTACTCTGCATCTACCTTTATACATTTTCCCAATTATTCCGTGCGTTCAAGCTTAGCGACTGCATTTTACTGCTGACAGTTTGCATTATTCAATAGACATTTTTTACAGTTAAGTGACCGCACTAACGCCTAAAGCCATTTTCTAGAGAAATTCAGTTTTCTCAATATAATTGGATCGTCCTCTTAAACAGGCATATCAGTTCGCTGCATACAGAAGAAAAGCATATATGATTGCAAGTTGTTTATTTAATGAAAACTTTTGGTGTTGAAACATCATTTTAAGATACTACTTCAACAAATACACGATTTCCTCCGATATACGTTTTGAGCATGGCTTTTCGTTCGTTATGAACACGCTTTTCTAACGTAACATCGAATAACGTAAAGCTTCAATTTGAAAATAAATGAGTATTCTGGGCTTTCGTGAAGGAAAGCTCTAACATCGTTGCCGTCTTTACATTTGACAATATCATAATATAAGCAATTTAATCAATCATCTTAAGGAGGTCAGGTACTGTCAAGCTCAAGGATGCCCATCTTGCATGGTCTCCTTTTAAAGGAATAGTTTTCTTCATAGACTCTGTTCGCTTCCACGCCTATCGAATTAATTTCCACCTTTTCGTTGCCCCTGCGTTGGCAACACGCTTTTGAGATTTGTCGTTCGTAGAATTCGGTCGCGTAAGGCGTAATCTTATTTTAATGCTTATCTGTATTGCTGAATTATTACTAAATGTTTACGTATAATGTTTTATTATTAAATGTATTCAATTTGGTTTAAACAGACCGAGAATGACTGAATTTATTAATTGAATTATTAAGGATATTTAAAATCGAAACTACATCATCCATTTCGGCGCCATTCTAACACAGGAACGTAAACAGACTCCTTTACATTTTTCTCTCTGCAACATATATATATTTCTCTACAGTATAAATATAAACATAACACAAGTAATTTCACGTAAATACGATAAAAGTAACAAGTAGATTAAGAATATGAACAAAAGTTTCAAAAAAATAGTGTGTCAGATTTATTTTAAATTATTTTTTTGTTATTGTCATTTTTGTTCGTAATCCTACTTGCTGCCGCACAGTCGGTATAGAGGTTAATAATAATAATAACTGAATACGTGTTCCCCGTCTTTTGACACTGCACGTCTGGTACCAACAGGCAAGGGGCTGGATCCCAGAAACTATGAGGCAAGGGACTGGATCCCAGAAATTTGGTTTCCCAAAAATAGAATATACACTAATCATGCTACCACCCCGCAGACCTAATCCTGGGTGGCAGACTTTAAAATGGTCTCTATAATCATGGCTACCGCCTGGACCCGCGGTGTCACCAATCCCGGTTTTCAGGTTTCACCGTGGCGGGAACCGTCACCTTGGAGATCTGTTCCTGGTCGTTTCAAAGGCTACGCGGGCTGCAGTTCACAATAGGTTATTACCTAGCAAACTGCGGTGCCGTCCCACAACCAAGGTGTGATCACCACACCGAGCTACAGACCCTACTGCTTCGAGACTTATCCCGACCCACCCAGGCAGGCCAACAGAGTTAGTCTTAGATATCTCCTCCTGGGCACGTGGAACCGCCAAGTTCAATGATATTATACCCCCGTGGCCGAGACTGCCTAGGTACAGATCCTAGCCTGTAGCTTCGCAGAGTTCTCTACGTCGACCCCCGGGGGGATATAGAGGTTAGGGAAGCCTACTGCGGTACCGAAAGATTTGGGTTCGAATCCCAGAGATGGCATGGATATTGTTGTAAATGTAAAATGTCTTTGCGGCATAGGGACACTTTATGGATATGGCGAGCCGAATGTTCTCTCGTGTGGTTTGGTTACCCTCCCACCATTCTACGGGGTGCCATAATTCTCAAAATTTGTGGGGAAGTCTAGCCTCCCTGAGGCTCTGGCAGCCTGATATTCATAGACAAGACAGTTCCATGATATTCATAGACAAGACAACAACAACCAAAATAACAGTCCTACTTGTTTGACCCAAGGAGTGCAAGATAGCATCTATCGTAGGCGATGGCCTTGAGTAGCATACCCGACATTTCCAGTATCGCCCCAGTTGAAGCAGAACATCGCGAAGTTGGTCCGTCGGTTTTCCGCATTTTCCTATACTCTCATAAACTGGAGAAGACTTTTAGGTTAACCATTGTAGTTTAAGGGGCCCCCATGCAGCACATACCTTATCCATTCGCACGCATCTATGCATTCTCCAGCATTCGAGCCCAGGCATTTTGCTTCTACAGTTATCGTCACTTGCCACTCAGAGCCATAGCTAGGGGTTTAAGCGACCTTCGTGGTGTAGTGGTCTGCTCGCTGGGCCGGTATTCCAGAGGTCCGTGGTTCGATTCCCGGGGAAAACGTTGCTAATTTTTCGTGTTGCCTAGCTAAGACTGCAGCTCTCAAACGCGAAATTGACAAGGAAGTTGCGTTTTGCGCAGAAGTTGCAAAAAGGCTCCTCAAGACAACATTCCAAGAGACATGGTCAACACGATGGCAGGAAGAAGAGACAGGAAGATTTACTTACAACAACCTCCCAATACCTATGCTCAAGAGGCTCAAAAGCAAGCGACTCTTCCTCCAAGCCTGTAGCTGGAAATTCTCAGCGTATTACAGACGATTCCTCAGGCGAGACGTCAACTGTTCTTGCGGTTTTCGCGGGGTAGACGCGGACGCACTTCATTACCTGCTCTCCTGCCCTCTGACAGAGCACCTTCGACAGCAGTTCTTTCCTTCCGACTGCATCACATATCCTGTGAATACACTGTTCACGGACTATGATTGCAACAAGGGCATCTGAGAGATAATGAAGCAAGTGAATGAAAATAATTATATCCAAGAAACTAAAGATCAATGTAAAATGTAGAAAGGCGGCCTAACCGTCAGATTGCTAGCTAGAATGACTTCCTAACCCTGTACTGCCATTACCTTAGTTTGGCGAAACAAGCCAAGTAAAGTGACCAGATCTTGCCTGCTCCAAAAAATCCCAATGTCTCTACAAGCATTCTCTTGTAAAATTTTGCAACATCAATTTGGCGCCCTGTATACTTTGCTTTCCTCTAGCTACGCCACTATAACTATTATTCCCTTTGAGCGGCATTATTTATTTTAATTTTGCAAATATAAACAAGTTTACAGAGGAAAAAAATCACAGGAATGTAATTTTCAAAGTACATTAGTAAATACAAAAGGAATGTTAATATTTATATTTAGTGCAATTTTCAAACCAGTGTTTCTTAAATGAAATTGGAAAGACGCATTATAAAAAATTGATTCAGTATTGTTTGAGTTTGTAAGTATTTATAGAAAAATGCAAATTATGAGAAGCGTAAAAACTAAAAAATTCTTAATATTGACATAAATAGCGTTTAATTTTCAGTTCCATAAATGTTGCTCTTAAATATTTCTCTTCGGAATATCATCAGCATCAGTCGATCAACTTCGATACAGACGATATTCCAGAAGCAGACTAGTGGAATATTTTCAAGAGAGTATCTAAAAATATCCAATGAAGAAATTTTTTTTTATAGAATGGCAAAAATTCATTTAAAATTAACACCTAAATTTTTGTATTATCTATTGAAACATTTATTGCTTTTATTTTAATATTTTGTTTATTGTTACACTGTATTGCTGTGAAATATAATATTGTTACGTGCGTATGAGTTCGAAACGGAATGAATATACATACAGACGGTGGAAGCTTGGTAAATTTTAATTCCAAAAATATTTTACATTTTTGGAACTTTCACATAGAAGTACTTATACAGCTCTTGTCAGTATGACAGAGCACAATCAGGAGTTACCACTTCAAACAAATAATAGCATTGAACACAAGTTAATGCTAAGGATGTAGAGACATTAGGACTTTTTTGAAGCGGGGAAGGTGAAAAAAATGCAACGCCTTACCCGGGAAACGCGGAGCTCTGGAATATACGCGCCCAGCGTGCAGATCACCACACCACGAAGGCATGCCAAGAAGACGGGAGAAATACCTTCTATACTCCCCCTTTTAAAGGGCGACCGGGATTTTTAACTGACCCAGTTGCCAAATCCTGGGTGAGGAGAATCATCATCCACCACTCTTTTAGTTCGGGAGCCACTGTAGAGATATTAGGTTAACTGGAAGCAGGAAAGATGAAACATATGCAATGCTTCCGCAGGGAATCGAACCATGGACCTCGGGAATACGCGCCCAGCGTGCAGACCACCACACCACGAAGGCAGAAATACCTTTAAGGGCCTCAAGAGCGTAAGTTCGCACAGTAATCACTTAGAATTCTGTAAAATTTTATGTCGGCATTTTTCTAGTATTGCATTTGTCTTAGCGATGCCAGCAAACCTAATCTAGAATAATTATTTTGTATACCCTTTTTGCACTTTTCTGAATTGAATAGTTGACCTGTTTTTGTGAATTTGATTGGTTTTACTATTGTAAAATGTGCATTTAAGGCAGTATTTTATAATAATTTTCTTTGACTTATTTTTGAATGCATTTGGTTTTTGAATTTGAAATTTTTCATATCTTTAAGTTAGGCATTATTCTTGTACTGTATTTCTATCGGGTTGCCAGCAAACCTGATGTAGAGTTTTTATATTACTTGGAGTGGTTTTGTTTTGAAACCAAATTTATGTTTTGTATTGTAATAATATCTGTATTACAATACAAAACATAAATTTGTATTACAATACAAAACATAAATTTGATTTGTATTGTATTGTAATAATCTCAGGTTCAGTGTATTTTATGATAATATTGTTCAGTTATCAAAGTTATTGGTTCTTAATTCTCAATTCATATGAAGAAATTTTATTTGGCAGTTTATTATTGTCTTAGTTTATCTTTATGCATTTTTTCTAAATTGAATGGTTGTGCTTGATATTGTGAATCTAATTGAAATTAATTGTGTATAATACAGTAATGGATGTATTATATTTTGTTTGTTTGTTTGTACCATATTTTTTATTTAAATTAGTTGGACTCAGTTTTGAAAGTATTTCGTATTTTCAGTACAAATTATGAAAGTATACTCGGTTTATTGTTTGAATGCTATAGGTACTACTTGTAACATGCTTTCTTTAGGGTTTATTAATGACTATGTCCTTGTGTTCTTGAAGGCCTTGTATGCCTGTAAACTTATTTTACTTAGTGATAATAAATAGCTTCTGGAGGCAGGGGCTTTAATCCGTGTAAGGCAGACAACATGTCAGCTAGGTAATGGAGCCCCTGTTCTCTGGTTAACAGAAATCACTTAGTACTTGGAACTAAACTGAAATTTTATTTCCTTCGGATGATATATAGTCTCCCCCCTAACCACCAAGAAGTTTTCCCGTATCTGCGAGTTCTCGAAATTACCGGAAGGCACACACAGTTACAATTATATAGGGCAGGATACAGCTACAGAGGAATTGGACCAAATGTCGATTTTTGACGACTTTTCGCCAAATTTTGTGACAAAAATTAGTCGCCGAAACCATCGTCAACTTGCCAGCGTAATCTTGCCAGTTTGGCGGAAAAACCATTTACCTCAAAGTTAAATGGACTGACAACTATAACCCTCTTTTTAAAGCAGTGCTTAGTGCTCTTGAGGACTTTCATGTATATTGTATACGATGTACTACAGTTTACATATAATTTCGCTAACATTATTTTCATGTATACAAAATTATGTGAAATTAGAAGAAATGTTGGGACGACCTTTATTCTGTAAAGAAGACTAGTTTTATCTTCTTTACTGCATATATTGTATTATGTTTGAGTTTATATACATATCGTTTTATGGAATTTCTCTATAGGTCTCATTTTTTTGAACGGCGAGTCATGGAAAGTTCTCCGAAAATTCTTTCTTAACATTTTTAAAGACATCGGTATAACTTCTATGAAAGGTAACATGGCAGGACCCATTTACGATAATATTAACTCGTTTATAGACGACCTGCGTAATCGAAACGGTGAGCCATTTGATGTCATGGAACAACTAAATGACAAGTGCATGAGCACCGTGCGTATGACGTTTTTGGGAGAAGATGGCATCACAGACGACGAGTTGCGAAACGTAATAGAAGCATATTCTGGATCACTGGACGCCATTGGAGGAACTGGAATGCTTCTTTTTGGGAAAATAGTAAGGTAAATTGTGTATAATTCTTTTATTCGTTCACCTGCATAATAGTGATTATATAAAATATACATTGCTGCATTTATCAGCTTATATATTACTCACTAGCTAATACCAGAATTAAACAAATATGAAAAATCGACTGTGCTTGTGCCATGAACTCGAGCTATGGATCTTCCAAGTTGCAGTCTAAACAGGCTAGTACTTGCTCCAAAAATGAACACGCAGGAATGTATACGATAATTCCTTTCCTTCCCCCCACTTAAAGGCCAATTGGAAAGAGGCACAATATCCTGTTAACCATATTCAGGTGCTGATGAATTATCGTTAATGATTGTTTAGTTCGGGCAAGACCATTAAGATTTTGTAGCCGGGAACATGAAAAACCGACTGTACCTTTACCTGGCCTCACCCCACATTTCTCCCAATCTGCTAGGTTAAATTATGTTTGGGCGCTAGGATTTTTTTAATCATCTTTTAATCTCCCTCTTTATTATTTTTTTATTTTTTATTTATTTTTTTTAAAGTTTACTATGTGCAATAATTTAATAGGTTACAACTTTCCTCCATGCAGGAACCAACGACTTTCACAGAAACCCCCTAAATATATGACAGTTGTGTCACGAATTAAGCATCCCGCATGTAGACATTTAGGCAAGTCCAGAAAATCCACGGCAGTTAATTTTTCAGGCAAAGTCCTTCTATCTTTACTTTATCTAACACAAGTTTCTGTCTATTCTAACAGCGATTCTTAACAGTCTTTTGATTGCTTCTTTGCTTAATTTTAAGTAGTTCCTAACAGGATACTCTTTCCCCGTACAACAACATCCAAGCTTATATGTAGACTATATGAGGCTCTTAGCCGTCTATTCGGCTGCGTTCCCGGAGCAGGATGGAGCAGAGAGTAGATGGTTTCTGCCAGGAAGATAACACACTGTGAGGCTAAGGCCAGGTCAGTGGTCTTCCTTGGTGGCGCTCACTCACTCACCCTGATAACATGCGTGAGGAAATGCAGTGATACTTCGAAATTAAATTTTTGAAGCATTTAAAATGGAATATAATAAATAGTGAGATTTGGTACAGAATATGTTATAGACATTCTGTACTAACTTACAGATAAACGGCTAGTGAGTTTACAGAATATTAGTAATTAAAAGAACAGTCGTCAAATTCACTTCAAAATAAACAGAAAGTTTATACTTAGGTCTGCCACCTGATGAATTTCTAAAGGAGTAATAAAATCATTTAAATAATAATTATCTTCTTTGGCACAAATGTACAGTGTAATATATTACACACATGGTGATAGACCATGATTACAAGCTACATCAAAATATAACTGAAAACAGTCACTGCGTATGACAGCGTTCCAGAGTTAGCAACATTTCTCCGGGGCAGAAGGTTTGTTAGTCAATATAAGCTCCTCAGAATTCCTGAGGACATAATAGTTACACAGCTCGTCTAAAGAGAGTTACATTCGGAAGTCTCACGATGCATGTACGGACATACAACCATCATGTCCGGGATACAGGTCTGTCGCAATGCGTATTCGCCATAAAAGCCTAGGTGCGTTGCAATCACTTGTCAAAATTACGATATTTCCAAGAATTTCCATGAGCTGTTTGACGGATCGTGATTCGTGAGCTGACAGTAGTTCAAGAACACGAGATGATTTCCACCTTTTCTAAATTCCATAAATCGAAACGGTGAGCCATTTGGTGTCATGGAACTACTAAATGACTAGTGCATGAGCACCGTGCGTATGACATTTTTTGGAGAAGATGGCGTCACAGACCTTCTTGGTACCTTGTCATGTTCCAAACTTGTGATTCAGAGTATTCTCTTTACTTGATTCAGGAAGAGTCAATAATTGTCACCCGATTAAGAACGAGCCTTGTTTTAGCGGTTCTAATTCGTTTGGATAACTGGAAACATCGCGAAGGGCCTGTTGCTGATAATTGCCTGTGTTTTGATAGATATAATTTCCAGTTCTTGAAAGGAAACTGGTGGCCTCTCCAGAATTCTTCTCAGAGACATCTTGCATTGACTTATAAACTAAAATTAAACGACCTCATTAAATGTTCCCTAAAACCATATCACCGGTTGGTCCTTTCGAAGGTAAATTTCCACTTGATAAATTCCCAAATCAAAATTTACATTTCTTCATTCTCTAATTTTTTTTGAAATAGAGTCAGCTGTCATTATGGAATGACTTCGCATTTTCAATAGATATTGAGCTGGAAATGCCTATCCTTCCAACAATGCCTTCCTTCCAAAATGCCTATCCTTCCAACAGTTTTTCGAATGGCTTGTAGAAATGTCTAAGTGATCAAGTCTAGAGTCGATTACAAATGTATCTGTCTAGTTATGGCACAAGTGAATCATTATGATGTTTTGGTCTATAATGTATAATGATCCTAACTAAGCCCATCCTGTCGTTTGAAGAGACTATGCTTCTGATCTTCTGTCATTCATCCTTCTTGAAATTGAGCAATTCTTTCTCCCAAATATGTGCGATATCTGTCAGTCATAAATCTGTAATGAGAGCTGTGTTCGCTTACGTCTACTGTGGTGAATAACTGGAATACGAAAGATAACCATCAAAATGTTAAATCTGGAAATTATGTGCGTAACTCCATCCGTTCGATTCCTGAAACTAGTAAAGAGCGATGAGAAGCGAGCATTATCGTCCATTTGGAAGCAACTTTATATAAGGACCAAGAACCCATCTTTGCATATTTCAGCATTTATAGTTGAAGTGGTACACATGTGTAGGTCAGTGCGCCATTTAAAATGACGCTTTCCCATACTATGATTCCACCACCTCTATACCAAAGCCTTTCATGATGGTTTACAGTCTTATTGAGGTTTATGCTCCTTTCAGATTGTAAAAAGTCTGGAAGAACTTTCGAACAAAAACTGGTCAGTGAGTAAAGAGAATTTCTTTCCATTCATTTTGGGTACTCCAATAACAGTGATCTTTCCACCTTTGCGATTGGATTTATTTAGCAACCCGTGTTAGTGGGACAAAAATCATGTGTTTCTTTGCACACAAACCTCTTTTATGCAGCCAGTAATACGTGATATATCTGGGTAGAGGAGTTTCTGTGGCTGCAGTGAATTTCCTTGCAGTCTGTATCTACGGCAATTGTCCTTTTCATTTAGAAGTCGATGCCAAATAACAGTCCAGACAGTCTGTTATGTGTTAAGGCAAGTTTTAGACATGGAACCAGTTGTCTGAATGCGTCACTTGTATGTTTGTGTCGTTTTTAGGTTCTACTCATGACGGTTTTGGTTATTATTTTGTGTTTACAGACACACGTCAGTTCTTGTTTCAATTCTCGCCGTCTCACGCCGTTTATCACACTTCATCAAATACCATGTTCCACCATCCACACCAGACATTTTACGCAACCACTCTTACAGCTTTATAAATTAGAATCTGAAGCATGCCTTTCCACTATTTTTCACATATGCCAAAAGAACAGGCTCAAAATTTTTCATATTTCTCTGCAACGAAGGTAAATCCCACTAAGCTACGTCGTAATGTTGGTAGTGAGCTCTAACCAACTCTCTTTAATTGGACTTCACCTTAATAGAATTAACAAAATTCACTTTTTATACCTTTTCCTTTATTTTTTCCCGCCAGTGTATATCTTTGACATATATAGGCCATCATATGGGCAAATCTCCAGGCAAAAATATCAATGGTAAAAATATCCCTCTCAAATATCTTGTTTCTGCTTTTTCATCAGTTATAGTGAAGGACTGGTACATCGATGTAATTATTTCATAATGATTTTCTGGATTGTTTCACTAAACATTTGGGTGCTTCTCTTTCGTTATTTTCCTAATGAACAGCATTTAATGTTTTGAAGAGTGGCTGTTAAAATTCTTTTCATGAGTCATAGTTTTAAATGCCATGATTACTGTAAACTTATATACTTTGTTTTTTAAATTCTTTATATTTTTAACATTGCAGGTATTTGATCCTTCCTTTCAACTCTAGATGTCGCACGGTAATTTCCTGCCAGAAACGTATGGAAGATATCTTCTCTAACGTAATAGATCGACATGAGAACACTCTTGATGAAAATCACCCTCGAAACATAATCGATGTCTATCTGAAAGAGAGGAATGAGCGAAAACGAAAAGGAGATCCTACAGCTGAATATTTCACAAGTATGAAAAAAAATAATATTGATTGGATCGGATATTTTAATTATTGTTTGACTACTTCTACACAACTCTAGCTGGCACTCTGACAAAACTCTAGCAGGGTGATAGCTAGGAAACCACACCAATGAGGGGTACACTATTATTTTTATTGTATTTTTTATTAAATTTTTTTATTGAGGGGTACACTATTTAATAACCCGAATATACTATTTCGGGTTATGAAATGTTAGTGGAAATCCGTTACTTTTATGAAGTGGTAAAAACCTGTATAAAGAATGGGCATGCATTCAATGACTGTATAATTTATTGTGAGTAACTATCATTTGTATAATGATATGTCTTATACTTTCTCATATACTACATATTTTAGATTTCTGTGTTTGGCATAAGTTAAAGATGCAAAAATGCATTTAATTTTTAGCAGTTTTTATGTCAGAATTTTATTATTATCTGTAGAAAGGGTTTTTAGGGAATCTCAAAAGTACAGTTTAAAGCAGGGTTTCTTAAACTGGGGGTCGCGGAACCTGCAGCAGGGGGTCGCCAAAAATTTTAGCAGTTTTGATATTTCTTTAACTTATTATAATAATTTTACAATTACCAAACATTTTTACACAATGCATCTGAAAACAGATAAAGTTAAGAAAATACAGACAAAGAAAAGAACGAAAATGTTTCGACACATTCTTTTTATGATATTGTAAGGATTATGTTAATTTTATTAACAGTTAAATTTCAAGTTAAAGTTCCTTTCCTGTCAATTCTTAAAACTTCAACTTACTACTTCCGTAACTTTTTTTTGTTTCTTTTTACTTTTTTGGGAGGACGTAGTTTTTTGAAATCTTGCTGAATATTTAATGAGGAGGAGCGGTATTTAAACCCCGAAGTTTACTTACCTGAGTCAGAGAGAATCAGAGTTTTCGATTTACGCGCGTTGCCTTTTGGCCACTCTCTCTCTCAAAGCTGTTTTATTACGTTTCGCCGTACTCAGACCCTTTGCTAAGCTTCGTAGTCAAAATAAGTTAAGGGGCCAACCCTCCATTTGAACGTTGATAGCTTCGGCTATACTTATTTAGTTAATCTTAGTTTTTTAGTTTTTAATTTTCTTAGTCTTTTAAGTTCAAGTCAAGTGCGGGCTTTTGCTTGTACACTCCCAGGCCGAGTTTTTTTGTTAAATCTTCTTATTGGAATAATAAAGGGTTAGTTTAGTTACCCTTCTACCTTGTTTGTTTTTTCTTGCCACCGAACTCAAGCGATTATTCGCTTATCAGTTCTTAGATTCTTCACTTCCAACATTAACTTAGAATTCCAAAGTGAGGAACTCTACAATATAAAAGCTCATTTTCCTTGCTTTGCACGTGACGCTGTCATTTCGTCTGTTACTATTTTAAAATTTTCAGTTCTATGTCTTAAAATTAGAAATTAAAGTTAATGACCTAAAACTGCAGTAGTATATTACAGTACAAGTAAAAAAAATTGACAGTTTCACTCACGCGGTGTGTCGGAGTTGCGCAATACTTATGCGGTCCCACAAAATTTTTGTAAATATTATGGGGTCCTGGGGGTCGCGAAAAAATCTCAGTGATAAAAGGGGGGGTCGCGAGTGAAACGTTTTTAAGAAGCCCTGGTTTAAAGAAATCATTTGAGGGAGTGAGTGGTTTGAGTTAATTCTAGCGATCCCACTCTTTGTTCAATTCTTTCTGCTTTTTCCCCATCTTTGCACACCGATCTTGATCCACGCCTGTTCCGAGCGCATTGATCAAGGTCATTGGTCATTTAGTGAGCGGTGAAGTGTTAAAAGGAGTGATTCAATTCAGTGTCCACCTCTGTTTGGGGGTATTATTGAAAGAAAGTACACGAATGAGAAAAGCGAGAATAAAAATTGGACTCATTTTGAGAGAATCATAAAATACTATATTTTTTAAAGGAACAGGGCATCAAGAAAGGCAAGGGGCATCAAGAAAACGAGAGTAAATCTTAATAAGACAGACAAAAAAGGTATTTATGCAGCAATTTAAACACGCAAATAATAAACGAAAGAAATGAGTAATATCTTGATGTCAGTATTAATTTTGTATCAATAATACTGTTAAATTTAAAAAATGACAAATTTCTAATTTGTTCAGTTTTTATGCTGGATGCTCTTTCTATACATCCTTGAAGCACATTTCAATGCTTAAAATGAATTAAAGTTTACACGAAATACATTTCATTTACTTTTGGTACCTTTCACGTAAATAATAATTAATCTTTAGGAGATCAAAATTATATCAAATTCATATAATCATTTTTTCTGTTTAGTATCGTGCTATAAAGAATTTTAAACTACTAATGATTAAAAAAGTTTCATTATCTTTATTTTCTAAGAAACGCAAGAAATGTCGGATTCCTTTTTCTCAGATATTACTGACAATTTTTGTAATCTAATTCTTATTTTAGTAAAAACGTTAATATAATTTTTACGTTATTATTTATTACGATTACTTTCCCAATACAAACTTAACAAAAAAATTGTATAGCTTAAGTAAAGTAATGTTCATTTATAGTCTTTCATATTTATGGATATTTTATCAATAATTACAAATAATACGGGTCATTAACCCTTAGGAAACCGAAGCCTTCGCTAACCTGTACGCCGAAAATACCAAAACGCCTGTCCCCATTCATTGCCCTTCTCTTACGTTTCCTCCCCTCTCCATTCATTAACACACAAGTAGGTGTAAAGATTTCAAATGACATCCTTTCTACTTCCTAATAAAGAAGCTTCCATTAGCCTTTTAAGGCAAGCTGTCTGCAATAAATTGTAACAATGCATTTCGGGGAACTGCTTCTGTCATTGCATACTTTAGAGCTGGAGGGAAGGGAATAATATTGCAATCTCAGCCGTTTCGGGCGGTTGTGGTTCGTTTCAGTGAAAAGCCATCTCGGTGTTTTGGCGATCAAAAAAGGCATTTTTAGCGAGAGCGATCTTTTTTGCTTATATAAGCAATTAGAAAAAATTGATAACTATATTGTCTTCAGTTTTGTTTCCAGTTTATTCCGGTTGTTTGGACTTTTACTTTATAACTGCTTTCATACTTAGCATTTTCCTTAATTAACTGATTCTTTTTATTTAATAATCGTTTTTTATAACAGAAAAAGCTCTAAATGGCTCACTTGCTCAATTCATTGGAGATGGTCACCTAGCTGTTGTTGGTTTCGTTGGACTGATTTCCCTTCATTTGATGAAACATCCAGAAGAACAAGAAAAAATATACAAAGAAATATTGGAAGTCATCGGCACGGATAGGCAACCAAGCATAGAAGATAAAAGCAATCTACCCTATACCAACGCGTTCATATATGAAGCTTTAAGATCATCTGACTTCTTTCCCTTTTTCCCTAGCCTTCTGTGCACAAGTAAGTTCAAAGCAACATGTATAATTTGTTCAAAATTATTGTGAATACTTAAATAAAAAATCATTGCTGTCATAAAAAGGTGTTGATGGTTATGCCGGCTCCGTGACGACGTACATTTATGCGTTTGATAGATAATAACGTACTCGAAGCGAAGTGTAATAAATGCAGAATATTATCAAGATGGAGGATGATACTGTTTGCTCATTTTTCAGATCCTTAATGTAGGCAAAATGTTTGATAAACAATTTTAATGTTCAGAGTTCATTGTAATGCTCTGGATTACCAACTCAGATTCCACAGTTCCATCATGAAGGTTGAAAGACAGTTTTACGTTTCCATTAGGAGTATGCTTGCCTTTCACTATACGCTTTACTAAACATACACTTATAACCTTTGAAACTTATAATTGTTTGACTAGATATTATTTCGTTCATCACCACTTTCGTAATATCGACGCAAGTTTAGTCCATAAAAGATGAAGCAGATAATCAGTCCAAACGTGCTGTTCTACATATTTTATTTTCGTCTGTGAATCGGCAAGTTTTGCACGATCAAATAAAAAATGGTGATAAAAGTTAATAAACTGGGTACATGGTAACGCACTGTTAGTGTAAGACTGCCAGAAATGGTTTAAAAACTTTTAAAGTTGGAAAAACATCATGAATGATGAACCCCGTTCCGGATGTTTTGAATTGTTAAACCAAATCAAGCGATTCTTTTAGAAGTTTATAGTGAACAATTTTGCCGATTAAGCTCAGAATGGATCAAAAAACACCCACGATGGGTGAATATCAAGAAAGTGTTGTTTCATCATGATAACGCTAAATCGCATACGGCTCGAACAACGCTGCAAAAAATGAGTAAATTTAATTGGGAGCTTTTGCCACATCCTGCTTACTCCCCAGATATTGCCCCAAGTGATTTTCACTTATTTCGTGCCTTACAAAATGTTTTACTGAGAAAAAGAATTAAATTCTAAATAGGATGTACACAACGAACTTTCAAGTTTTTTCGCATCAAAACCAGAGCCTTTCTATAGCAATGGCATAAAAAAGCTGCGTGTAAGATGGCGAAACATTGGACATTGCAGATAATGCTGGAAAATATATAATTGATTAAAATGTTAAATTGTGTGTTTTTTTATATTATTTAAAGATTTACCAAAAATCAGCACGAATTTATGGACTCACCCAATACATTACTTTGATGTTGAATTTTGATCGCACTACCAGTCGCTTGAATCATTTTTAAACTAACAGTATTCCAACAAGAGCTTCGGATTGAAGATGCCCAACAAAGAACTTAATTTTTAAAAAATAGAAAGTGTTTTGTAAAATTACTAAGCAAGTAAAGTTTCCGATTCATGAACGGAAAAATAGGCTTTTAGTCCACATGGGCTTTGTCCTCTAAAGACTATGTTTTTCGTTTTGCGATTTTGCTCCTAATCACTATAAATTCCGTACACTTTTCAAACTGTTGCCACCATGTTAGAGCCTGCTTATATTTGAAAAATTAAATAATCAACAATCGAAAAATGTATGTATATTCTCGCGTTGGATAAAACAACGGTACATAGAGCCATCTAATTCTGAATGACGTATCCTTCCTCCGAATATGGCAGTGGAAGACCAAATTTGAATTTTGGAATTATTTTGTTATCGATTTCATATTCTGTAAACCGTAACGATTTTTGATTACCAAACTCGAGGATTTCAAACCGTCATGGCACGACTCTACGAGGGGGGGGGACCTTTTTATCTCCAGGGCGCGGAACTGTGTATCGGAAATTTTAAAGATATGCTTATTTTAAAATTATTTTGCGACATTGCTATTGAACTGAATTTTATGCTTTAAGTTCTAAGAACATGCTATTTAATAAACAAAACGTTAAAAGAACAAAAAAAAGAACGCCCGTTTGGACGTCATTTAAAATCTGAAACCTTTCAGATTTTTTAATGTAATATTTTTTATGTGTGCATAATTAATAGAAATAGCGAAGTGGTTGTGCAAATGGCAAAATATTTTTTTAAAATATTTCTATCCAGAAACTGAAAAATAATCATTATAAAATATAGTGGTGATACGGAAGTTCTTCAGTTTTTGTTCAGTTGGTACGTGTTAGTCAGAAGGTTAACAATCGTTGTTCTAAAGGAATATGTATTCATTAAACATGATAATATCCATATCATTATTGACACATTGTATGTGTCTGCGCTGATTTCAAGTGATATTGAGTAACCTCCATCTGAATCTTCGAAATTCATTTCCTTCTCATACAAAGAGCAATGTACAGGAATTCATAAATTTGGGTCCCTAGCGAAAACGAACTCATGCTTGCGTTAGTATTGGAGGAAGTTTCTTCATTTCAGTTTCATGGATATGATTGATTGTAGAATAGCAGCTAATCTCTTTCAATATAGTAATCGCATTCTCTATTATTTTAAAATCGATAATCTTTTCTGGGTGATAAGCACTGTATACAATGCTTCATGATTGCAAGTAGACTCTTAAGTCCGCTTTGGGAATTTCTTTCTTAAATCCTTTTGTTGCACTGTTTAAAAATTTCCAGCTGCTTCCAGAGAGTATCTCATTGCATTAACTCAGTATTTTATTTTAATTTTCTAAAAAATAAAATAAAACGTCTTAAGCTATTACCCTTAAATACGTTCATTCAACTAAAATGTTGAAATTGTCATTTATTTCAGTGGAAGCTAACTTGAGAGGCTATAGAATTCCCAAAGAATCGATAACTTTGGTCAATTTTTATTCCGCCCACCATGATCCTGAATGTTACGAAGATCCATTTAAATTCGATCCTTCTAGATACTTATCGTCTGCAGGTAAAACAAGGGCAGAACTTCCAGTTTCATTTGGAACAGGTAGGCACTCTCTCTCTCTCTCTCTCTCTCTCTCTATATATATATATATATATACTTTAAAGAATCGTCATTATTGCAGCAATAAAATTAAAAAGAAAGAGACGAGCTGCTAGATTGTAACATGATAATAACTCAAAATGTAAAGGTCGGATCGAAAATTAAATAAAAATTCTGTTCCAAAAATTTGAAGGTTTAACGTTCTCTTTCCGGGTAAAAGTTACCAAACTGAATAAACGCAAAAAAGAACCCATTCAAAACCGAGATCGTGAAAAGAAAATTAAAAACTAATTTTTTTTTTTTTAAATTATAGAACATGAGACCAAAATAAACAGCAAAATAATTTTGAATAAAAATTTTCATTAATCTCCTCTGTTTAACACTTCAAAACAGAACTTGCCATTTTGTGTAGTTAGTTTGTTTCGCTTATTTTTAGTTTTTGTACTATTTTAAGCATTTGTATTTAATTTTTGGATGTCGAGTTTTTGTATTTTTGCTTACTTTGAGTAGGCATGCATGTAGGGGGGAGATCTGAGTATTCGAGACTAATAGGGATTTTTTTTTTTAAATAATGCTTAAATAATGAAAAGAGATTTTAAGTCTCGGCTTAATACTGATTAAAACATGTATTCGGAACCCATTAATCAACTTGCTTTTTTTTATAGCTACATAACACTTTTCCCTTGATAAATTCATTTTTCAACCGTTAAAGAGAGGAGATTAATAAAAAAAATATTTTTCCAAGCAAATTTATTTTGAAATTTGTTTTGTTATGTGTCACGTTCTGCAATTTTTAATTTCCTTTTAACGATCCCTTTTTTTTTTTTTTTTTTTTTTTGATTGTTTCCTTTATTTGCGTTTATTCAGTTTGGTTATAAGGTATTTCTCCCACTTCCCTAGCGTGCCTTCGTGGTGTTACTGTAGCACGCTGGGCCGGTATTCCAGAGGTCCGTGGTTCGATTCCCGGCGAAGGCGGTTGCTAATTTTTCATCTCTCTGGCTTCCAAAGAAACATCATGTCTCTACAAGTGGCGCTCGAACTAAAAGGGTTGTGGATGATGATTCTCCGCACCCAAAATTTGGCGACTAGGTCTCCTAAAACCCTAGTCGCCCTTTAAAAAAGGGGAGTGTATAAGGTATTTCTTCCACTTTCCTAGTGTCCTTCGCGGTGTAGTGGTTCTGCGCGCTGGACCGGTATTCCAGAGGTCCGTGGTTCGATTCCCGGCGAAGGCGATTGCATATGTTTCATCTTTTCTACTTCCAATTAACCTAATAACTCTACATGGTAACCTTTACCAGAGGAGAGAGAAAGTTAGACCTTCAAATTTTTGGAACAATTTTTATTTAAATTTTATTCCGTCCTTTACTTTTAGAGTACTATATATATATGAAACGTTCTATGACTACTTTTTAAGAAATTTCAGAAAAGCTGCCAGACGTTAATTTACAGCCTTTATTACAACTTGTGTTTCGTAAAATATCATCTGTTACTATCAAAATTCTATATGCAGTTAATCGTTTGCTTTAATTTGTGAACATCTACAATTATGCATTTGAAGGCTGAGCATAGAATAACAATGAGATTTGCTGTAAAGCACCAAAAGTAGCAAGAGACATTTGAAATGTTATGTAAGACAAAGAAGATTAAGCATTAACACGATCCAAAGTTTTTCTTTGATTAAGGACAATTTAGTAGCGGTGATATTTATAATGCAACTGTTAGTGTAATTAACCTTCACACTTTCAAACGAAAACGAAAATCGGAATCATTCGACAGCTAATGCTGAGCACATTGTCACGTATCTCTTCAAATGATATCTGATGAGGTTAGCATCGTTAGCAACGCTTCTTACGAAACCGTCAGTCAAATGCATGTTATGGTTTGATACAAACTGCAGACATTACTCAGAAATTTTTTTTCAAGTAAGTTGTGAAGGGAGATGGAATGTGTTACTTTCCTTATCATCCTAAGGTAACATGTGTACCATCTGCTTCGATTAAAAATAGTTTACTGTGGCCACACAGATTTTATTCCGGAAATCTCGAGTAAAGGCCCCCATTGGTGACTTTGTAGGGATTTATACAGTCAATAGTCTTTAATCCGGACCCGTCGGGACTTCGGCGATTCCGGATTATCGGTGTTTCCGGATTACAGATCATCAGTTTAAATCTCGTAAGATGAAATGCAGAAATTATAAAATTAAGAATATGAAACCGTAAATTATGAAATAAAGAGCAATTATCTTCTAAAGGGTATCAAAATTTACAAAGAAAAAGTTTAATATTTATTTGTTTACTTTATTAAACTTTTCTTTCAACACGCGCATGCGTAAAGCATACATTACGCATAGTCGAAATTAGAAAATTGCAACCAGAAAACTATTGTGTATTTGTGATATTTATAATGACGAGGATTTTGGTTTAAATCATATAAAAGACGGAGTACATTGAGATGAAATACTACATTTAGTAAGGAATTGTAAGCCGAATAAAATAAAAACATCTGCCCTGAAGATAAGGATGGTGCTGACAGATCAACTTCCAGTTCATTGCGCGCCGCGACGTTTCGCCTCCCCGCAGAGCAGCGTGAAATTGATAACAGATTTCGGAATGGTTAGAAAAACAAATCACCTCTTCGTGCCTTTATCCATTTTTTGCAGTAATTCCACATTTTGTTTGATGGACATCGAAATATGCTTTCGCTTTGTGGATCCTTTGGCAGCTCCAGAATCGGAAATTGTTTTCGACATAATCGAAAGTTCCAACTTACTTTTATAAAATTGCTCTAACAGTCTGCAAAAAATAATAAGCCGGATCCAATTCGAAGATTAAAGAACAACGCAATCTGCAACATTAACTGAAATAGATAATTAGATAATTTTAGCTTAGCTTATACCGTCCGTTATACATAAAACGCGCATGCGTAAACGTATTATGCGCATGCGTAGATGCGTTATGCGTTTACTCATGCGCAGAAAAATCGTAGCTTTGAGGTCCGGATTATGGGACGTCCGGATTAAAGACTTTTGACTGTATTTTATTTTAAATAATAAATTTTATTTAATTTTAAGCTTTCCTATAAGCCTTCATTACCCTAATTGTCAATGCCAGAATATTTAAATTTGGCAGCGCGAGTGAAAGAATGCAAATTCTACCTGGAGGAGAAAAAGTTTAAATACCGTGTTTCAGAAGGAAAGTTAGGGAGAGTTAGGCTGTTGCCGTTACCTCTGTAGCGTGAGCTTCTACTCCCGGGAGTATTGCTGGTTTAGTTGCCATTAACAGCATTTACTTTGCTGCCACCAGTTTCGACGCTGGTTTAAGAAACAGGAGCCCTGTAGAAGCAGAAAATTTTTCTGATTGATTGATCTCTACCCGGTACAAAGCTCCAGCCGAAACATTTGCGGCGAGGTTTCAACAAATCCCACGTAGCCGGTACATCGTTTCCGTAACTAGGCGGAACTTCGCTTCCAGCGGAAGTGTTCTTTCTAGGAATTTTCCCGTTTCAACGAGTGCTACCAGAATCTCGTTTCTCAGAAAAGTCCTTTAACGAAGAATCTGTACACAATACGTTTCAAATGGTAGCTGTAAAGTAAATTAAAATGGATGGAATGGTAATAAAAAAATGCAAATAGAAACTGAATACATTGAATAGAAATAAAAATGATGAAGGAAATACAATTTACCAATAAACTAACCCTCAGAGGAAAAACGGTATACCAGTTGAAGAAGAGGAAAATTATGCAAATATTAAAATAAATTCAGAACATATCTTTAAGAAGCTAGCTAGGGAGGGATATATTTCTTTTTAAGTTGCTGCTTTAAGTTTCTGTTTTTAATTTAATTAATTTTATTTCTAGGCAAACGTTCTTGTTTGGGAGAAGCTTACACTATGAGTCAAGTTTTCCTTTTCCTTACAAATGTCGTCCAAAACTTTCGCCTGACTTTTCCCGAAGGGGAAGAGTATTCTACAACTGCATTCGCAATGAAGTTGAAAATCAGCGCAGTTTCTCGATAACTAACTGAAGAAACAAAGCTCTAGCCAAGTATACTGAAAAATACTTATTATTTGCTTCTAGAAGACCTACATATTTGTAATTGTAATAAAATATTTTTATTTTTTAATTTTTATTATAAAGATTACGTGTAAATATTATTATGAAAATGGCTTTTTCAGTTTATCTGCTATTTAATTTTTTTTGCATGTTCATAGCATATCCAGAAAGTTATAGAAATGTTTCTCAAATTTTAGACATTTGTTTTACCCCACATTGACTACCGAAGAGGAATTATAAATTCACGTATGCATGTGCGCACATATATATGTGTGTATAAAACAAGTTCTCGTTATTACCCTTCCCTCGTTTATGATCGTAAAGTGCGTCATGATATTCACGCATAGAGAGTTAGAGAATTTTTGCAAAGTACAGAGAATGCTTACGCACTTTTAGAACGATTTTGGTGTCGTTTAATTAATATTTAAAATGTGAAGAGTATTTTTTTAAATGCTCAATATCTCAGCCTTTTTTTTTTTTTTTTTTTTTTTTTGGTGTGTGTGTGTGTGGGGGGGGGACGGTTATAAGCCTTTATCGTAATTTCTATTATAGACGGGGTCTTTCCTTAAAATTTCGAGGAGTAATATTTCCATTCTTCTTTCATTACTTTCCAAAGTTCTTTAATAAGTGAAAGAAAAGAAAAGGAAAAAAAAAAGAAAGAAAGAAAAAAGAATGAGGAAAAAAGAAAGAAAAAGAAAGAAGCTTAGAAAGAGCTCTTTTCAAGACACCAAAGCCACAATTTTCCTTAGATGAAACGTGAGGAGCATTCGCACGAATGCGTTGAAAAGGTAAATATGCAATACCTGTATCAGTCTTCATTTTTTCAAGGAAAGCAGTGGTACTTTTAGAAGTATGATTTGTTGCTTTGTTTCCATGAAGTTTTACACTTTGAAAGTCATTGGGATAAATAAATGGAATTTCTTCGGTATATATCCGACGTAAAACTTTCTTTTGATATTACACTGATTTTAATATTTCTTCCACTGTTCTTATTTTTAATCTTCCATTGGAAGATCCCTTACTGAGAATCATAAGCCCCTTTTGGAAAATTTCTTTACCCTGTAGGGATTTATATTTATTTTAACTACTAATTTAAAGTTTTATTTGAAACTTTCCTATAAACCTTCATTTCCCTAATTGCCAGTGCCAGAATAGTTAAATGTTATAACGCGCGTGAACACATGCAAATTTTATATGTTGAAGAAAGTAGTTAAAAGCCGAGTTTCGATAGGAGAAGTTGGGCTGCCGTCTCTGCCGTAGGTAAGTTTGTTCATTGCTGGTTCAAGTGGTTTAATTGGCAACATTTCAACTTTTTAATTTTCAGTTATTCGACTTTCAGTTACCGCCCAAGTAGAGGCGAAGTTTGTGAGCGTCGAGTTGACGCATTCTAAATTTTAAAGAGTTAATAAAAGGTTTGAACCCTTCTTCAGTGTAGTTTCCTGCTACTCCAGTATACAGAAAGAAGTTAAAGCACCTGGACCCTACCAACCCCATTGATGGAACCAGGTTTATGCATTTTTTTCTCTTCGTTTTTGATACCAAATACACCATTTTCTGTTGTAGTATTTAGATAAACCCATGCTTCATCAAGAGTCGCAAAGTATTCCCATTTATCTCCTAAATAGTTTTCATATAGGGTTTTCCAAATTGTTCAGTATTGTGCCTTGCCGAAAGCTAGCAAACATTATGGTTTTCAGCTTTTTTAAGTTATAAATCTTGGTATATTATCTTATTTTTAGTGCTACAGATGTATTTAAAGACTTTGCAATTCCTTTCTGTTTCAGTGATTTTTCTTATTACCAACGATTTATATTTAGAAATAGTACGCACGGAGTTTCTTTCGTACAGAAATAACGATAGACGGATTTTCCCTTTCCCTTGAATAATGTTATTCATTTTGTACTGAGAAATTTTAATACCTTGCATTTTACATTGTTTTTGAATTACAGAATAGAAATATTTCTCTTCGGAAAGAGCAAAAGGTGAATCTTCGGATTATGGTAACTTGGCGATTTTTTGGCGAAAATTTGGGGACCAACCCTGCTGCAACCTGCTAGTTTTTTTTTTTTTTTTTTCCCACGAAGTAAAGGCTTTTTTATTTATTTATTTATTTTTTACTCATCATTTTCTCCAACAATCTGCTAGCCGAATTACGCTTATGCTAGAACTTTTATGGAACAAAAAGTGCTTAATGATGACGAAGATTATGTGCGACATTGGGAGAAAGTGCAGAATCGCCCACTGCTTCGCGCGTTTTTAAGAAATGCACTTACGCGGTATCCATGTACACGTCAACCTATTTTCACTTAAAAATACATCCCAGAATTGCACAAAAATGGCATTGCGCACACTTGACTTTATCCATGTACACATCGACCTATTTTCACTTAAAAAGTCAAAGAAAATTGACAAAAATCCAATTCTTCTTACTCTTGTAAAAAGCGCCAAACAAATAAGTGGACGATTTTGCACTTTAGCTGCGAAATTGTTTCTAAGTGCTTATAGCTAAAATCACGATCGGAATTTTCTGGAAAATGTCACATAACATGGCTCATTATCTCTCATTTCTCTGAGACAAAATAATCTGTGATTCGAACTGTGTATTTCTCAGTTTATTGCTAAAGTCCTACATCCTACATACTAAATAATCTTTATCGCCTTACCAAAATGTCGCCAAACTACCTGTTGCCATATTCGAAAGATTAGCCGAGCAAAATTCTATTCTTTAATCCATGCGACATTTTAAGAGAAGAATAAATTATTTGCATGGGGCATTTTGAAAGAAGAGTAAGTTCTTTTAATTAGCTGACGATATTTCTCATTTTAAATAATAAGCTGTTGGCAGAAACTTTTATTCCAAAAGTTTATTTTTTAATTCGCTATCGAAATCGCTCTAAAAATGTGTAAACAATTTTAACACTTCTGTGAGGCGCATGAGTTACTGAGTAAGTCAAAAGGGGATCTATGGCTTTGGATTGCCTATTCTAAAATAGCTGACTATAATTTTTTTTTCGCATGTACATTTCACATCCCGAAAGCTTTCTATCATCAAATAATAGGTCCTCTTTTCTTCGTTGATAACATAAAATATCGCTTCGCTTGTTGAGTTATCAAAGAATGAAGTGAGACTGATAAAATACAATATCCTTCTAACATTGCATTTTATCAGCCATTTCCCTGACTATTGATTACTGAAGTACCAGCTATCGAAAAAGAAATGCAACAGCGGATGCCAGTTCTTGAGAATAAGTAGAATGTAAAAAGGAAATGTAGATGGAAATATCTTGAAAGTGCGAAGAGTCTGCAGTAACTGCGCTACTGATGTCTGCGAAAAATTTTTATTTCAACGATTTGTGGTGCTTTAATTACATGCTGCTATTCAGAAACTGGAGTTAGAATTTTTTTTTTCAGGGGAGGAAAAAAAAAAAAAAAAAAAGAGATAATCTAAGCCATTTACACAATTTGAGAAAACTGGGCAGTTTTATTCAATTTCTTCCTTTGCAATATACCTATTCTAATAAATTTTTAACAAAATAATTTACAAAACAAATAACAGACATAAATAATTTATTTATAGGCAATATTTTAGAACTGCAAAACTGAAACTGCTTATAAGTTATATAGTTTTTCATTCTCCTTTTCAGTACCTTCTAGTTGACATAAAATATAACTATTCCTAAATTTTTATTAAACTCTATCCATTAGTTTTCTTTTAGAAATAATTTTTAAAATTGAGCCTCGGTCATATAATATGTAGATCTTACTTCCGTGTTTACGTTACTTTCTTCTGGCATTGAAAGGGAGATGGCTTTATTACTACTTGAGTGTCGAACATGTACAAGAACTTAATTCTAGAGGTTTGGTATATGTCGGTACAATGAAAAAAAAATAAGACAGAAATACAGGTGAATTTTGAATTCAAACAAGCAAAAACATTCGGCGCAAAAGATTAAAGTACATTGGTCCAAACGTTTCCCCAGGGACGACAAAGGGAAGTTCTTTCTGACGACTCGAAATCAGAAAATCGCATAGGTGCAGCCTACGTTGTAATAAGAAACAACATTGAAGTTAACCGTGAAGAATTTAGACTTGGCTGTCATGCAAGCTCGTGGTTTTCCCCAGGTGTAACGTGCATACGAGCCAGTTTCCCTTAGAAAGTCCTCCACGAGGCATTCCTCCCCTTAGGCAGATAGCCCTCGAGACTTTGCCATAATACACAATACATACACATATGTGCCTCAAAAATTAATAAGTGTTATTCTTATTTCTTCAATGCATCATTCGAAATCAGAAGATCTTGAAATTGAGAAACCAGAAATAATAACATTTTACAAGGTGACTAAAGGTGGTGTAGATGCGCTGGATGAAAAATGTTCTAAACATTCTACAAGCCGAAGAATAAGGCGATGGCGAATGGCCATATTCTTCAGGTTAATTGATCTAAGTGGAATTAATGCCCATGTAATTCAATCGTTAAGAGTTATTGGGGAGGAAATGGGGGAAACAAATTGGAAAAATTGGTGTATAACGAATTTTTGATGGAGTTATTGGAACCACATATGGAATGAAGGCTTCAAAAGCCAACTGTGAACCGAGAAATAAAAATGTACATTCTGAGAGTGCTAGGAGTTCCCAGCGGAATCTATTCTAGCCCAGATGCAAAGTATACCCCTAAAAAGCCTAAAACATTCTTTTGTCCCTCCTAGATTGAGAAAAAAAACTGCCTATCTATGTTTTAGGGCTAACCAGCGGCCGAGCGGTAAAGTTGCTGAATACTGGTAGTTCGGTTCGAGGTTCAAATCCTCAAAACAAACGGGCTGGCTGCATGGGCGTTCGTGGTTTTTCCCATGTGGAACGTGTATACGAGCTAGTTTCCCTTAGAAAGTCCTCCACGAAGGCATCCCTTCCTTTAGGCAGATAGCCCTCGAGGCTTTGCCATCATCACATAGACACATCTATGTTTCAGCTACAAGAATCCGACATGTTATGAAATGTGGCAAAGAGAATTTGCGAAAATTGTGTTGAAAAGGCTTAAAATGATGTGCTGCAGTTTTTTTAATATTCTTTGTTATACTTTTTTTTTTTTTTTTTTTTTTTTTTT